CAATAGCACAACTATATTTATAATATGAGAGCAAAACATTGGAAGATTTCTTCATAATATTCATACCAAGATTTCTCTTATCCAAGGAGCCAAGCTCTCCTTGATAGCTTTACCTTGCTCACAAATACTACTAAAATGTAAAAGAGATACAAGGTGTGGTGTGAGGTGTAGAGCCCAAATGAGGTGTGTGTTACATGAGAGCACCACCCCCCTACTTATACTATATGGTGGCCCATTTGGGGGAGGTAAAATAGGAAACCACCTAAAACCGCCTATGCATGCTGCGATGCAACCGCCATAACAAGGTGGGGCCGAGCAGGCTTGGGGGCAGTGCGGCCACACCCTAGGCTAGCCTATTGGCCACCGCCTTGCTCTGGTGGACTCCTGGCTAGGCCTAGGTGGCTCCCACGTCGGTGCTCGGCCCAGGTTTGGCGTGTAGGTGGGCTATCTCCTTTTATTCCATTGCGCAATTCTGCTTTACGCTTTCTGAGTTGCACCTTTTGTCTTGTTTTCCACTTGTATTCAAATATATGTCCTGCATAACATGATTCTTCCAATACAAGTGGAACTATGTCAATAATAAATGCATATGTGTCATAAGTTTGTTTATTTCTTCTATTTTGGATCTTAATTGGTGGTCGGATTTGGTCGTTAAGGACCGCCAACAGACCCTCTATCAAACTACGAATCATCATTAGTGCAAAAATGTCGGGATCGATTCCTAGGGCATCCGGACTCTGAATCGAGTGCGGTTTGTTCCTATAACTTTATAGTGATGTGGGGAAGCTAATCCAATTGTTGGATGTTCCATGCATGGTGTGTGTGGAGCCCACCCCTATCAATGGTGAAAATCACCATTGAAGGCTAAGGAGCTCAATGGGGAGAGCTATGGAGATGGGGATGATGGGGAAGAAGGCTTGGAGCTTGCTCACCAAGTCGAGGAGGTGCTCCATGTTCAGCAGCTCGTGCCAAAATGGATTGGGGTGGGAGATCGAGCTCTAGGCTCCTCCATGGCTTGAGGTTGAAGAAGACCTTGGGGGCTTCCTCTCCAACTCTGGCGAGGTAGAGGACGATGTGGTGGAGCAGCTCACTGGCGTCCTCTAGCAAGGGTGGGCACCATCCTCCTCCTCCTCTCCTTATCCTTCTTCCTCTTCTCCTCCTCTCCTTTCTCCTTCTTCCTCTTCTCCTCTCTTTCTCCTCTCATTCTCTTCTCTGGTTTCCTGAACGTGGGTGTGTGTGTGAGAGAGAGTGGGGAGAGAGGGGGTGGAGGGCTGGTGGTGTATGTGAGGGAGGTGGGCTGATGTGTGGGCCCAGTGTGTGTGGGTGAGACAGCAAAGCAAATTGCATGGGACAGGTGTCGCTGTGATTTTGCGGACAGTCCACCAGTCCTAGTGGACACTCCGCCAGTGCATGAAGTGCGCTAACAAAACCTGACAACTGTCAGTATGTGCATTTGGCTCGACAGACACTCATCAAATGTGACAGACACTCTGCCAGAACCAACAGTGAGCAGTTTCATTCTAGTTTGCACAAGTTAATTTCTAATTTAAATTAAAAATGCACATGATGCTCAGCAAGTTTTAGAAGTAACATGCAAGGTTTTCTATTATAGGAATTTTTAGGTGCATTTTATGCTCATGATGCTTGTGAAAAAAAATTGGCATGACATTTTGGGTCGTGACAGTGACAGCCCTATGTAGCCTTTGTATTCCACCATGTGTTGTAGGCAAGTTCTTAAAATGTAATACCCCATAAAAAGGTAGTCGCTTTAGGTCAGAGTTGTCTCCTATTATCTCACCTATCGCCTAGTATACCCATTGTGTGGACTCAATTTATGTGTTGCAATTGTGAGATTAAGATAGAACCATAGAAGTAGAGTTAAAAACTTGAATAGGAATCCTTTACTCTCTCGTTGTCCTTCCACTTAGCTAGACCTTACTAGTTATCTTGAGCTATCTTTATCTTGACTTGTTTCATCATCCTTCCAATTAATATTTGATTACCCCTCTACACTATTTGACACTAAGTTGTGGTAAATATAAGATCTCTTATTTATTATCATTCCTGGCTACCGCTTTACCTTGGGATAAAATAAAGAGTTAAATACACCAAGGGTCCATGATCTTGTCACAGTGTGTCATTTAGGTACATGAACTTTGAAAATGCATTTTTGAGTCCTAGTGCCATGTAACAAGAAAGCCACAGCCCAATCGAAGAACCAATGCCATGTTGGTATTCTTAACGTTTACAGATATAACCTGCAAGCGCATAGATACTATTCTAGCATTTCACCGGGAGTATTTCAGGTATTGTTATTTATATTTTTACCATAGGGAAGGATGGTATGACTATTGACATACTTACGATCATAGCATACTAAGCATCAAAGTCTAAGTAGGGGTTAAAGATGATAATATTCGTATTGTGATACACACATAGAGTCTACTCTCTATAAAGAATAATCCTAAGTCTAGTAAACAATAACTATAGCAAGCAAGTTAATCATACATCATCTTGATTCCTTTGGTCTTAAAGAATAAATGAATGAATATTAAAGTACATAGCTAGTGCCTTGATTCCATGCCCAATAGATGTATCGGGGATACCTCACCGGACTAGTTTTACGTAGCCCATGGAATAACTTCTTATGGCCAAGCGCCTATGCCATAACCGAATGTGGGGGATTACAAGGGATGGACAAGGCTATCACCACCTGCCGTCTACCCCTATAAACCATGGAGGATTACGTTCATATTTGATGGTGCTCACTAACCTAAGTACCACACTTAGACTAATCGGCACCACTCTTATCCTCTTGGAAAGAACAAGATCAAACCTGAGAGATCACCAAACCAACATCGTAGCATGAATCAAAACCCTAACAAGGCATTTGCATAAGTCAAATAGATAAACTTTGGTAACCAACATACTAATAAGATCGAACTGGTTCTTGAACGATGAACATATATCAACTTGATCATACTAGATGTTGAATGATGAACAAACAAGATCATACTAGAATGAAGAACTAGTATAATCAAGATCACTCCAAGAAAATGTTCTCTTATGAACAAACTCATAAGAACATAAGAACAATGAACTAGTAGGATCAAAGTAGCATGAACATGATGAACATTGCAAGAACAAGATGAATATTCCATCGATGATTGAAAGGTAATACAAGATGGTTAAGCTTTTATTAGAGAGCTAGACCCACCAAGAACACCTCCTGATCTACTTGAGCTTCCTAGAACTAATTGTCCACTAAGGACTTGGAAACTAGGGTTACAAGTGCGGGATTTGTAGCTCTGATGTGTATTGTTGAATACAGGGGTCACACTATGCTTTTATAGGTGGGAATGACCCCCTAAGGTAGTGCACTGAAGATCGCACTGAGGGGAGATCCCAGGGGATCAGCCGAACTGCCTCTCCCCTAGGATCGGTCAACCCTTGGATTAACCGCCTTGGGCTTGAACTACATAGATGTACCCCTAGCGTCGATTGGGAGATCCTAGAGGCGGTTGGGCCTAGGAGGAGCCCATAGGGGTTCGCTCAAATCCCCTTTGGGCCAGGGATCAGCCGATCCTTGGTGGGCTCCATTGAGGTCCAACTTTGGTGGGGTGGCCCACCAGGGCCTTGTGGTCAAATTCTTCCCTACATGCCTCTCATTTGGGCCAAATTGGAGTTGAAGTGGCCTTTGGCTCTTTACACAAATGTTGGTGATGTGTTAGAGGATTAAAAGTGGGTTCCTTCGTCTTATTCCATGTGTTTATTTATGAGAAGTAACCTGTAATCAAAATTCTCCAAGTAAATGTGGAACTACGTTATTCGGAAACAAATATACATGTTAGTGATGACCCCCTGAAGCTAAACTCTTGCTCGTCCCGAAGCAAGAATTAGACTTAGGCTCGGTGGATCACGAGTTGCTACAATGTTCTTTTTCTCAAATGTACCTTTGCTTTTCCAAAATTTGAATAAGTTAGCAAAGGTAGCTCTCACTCATTTTACCTTCTTACGCATGGTGCTTTTGTCCTTCTCTTTGTCTTAGGTGCCTGAGAGATAGAACGGCATGAAAGTGAACCCTTCTCTTGTCCTTAATTATGCTTTCATCTCCGGAGGTTTTTTATAAGTTTTAAAAACAAAAGTTAAGTTCCTCAAGTGATGATCTCAAATCGTTCATAATTTGCTTGTATTGGATCCTCACCAAAGGCTTTTGAGTATAGCCTCTTTTTCTTCCTATCATCTAATAAGCTTACATGGATAGTTAAGTATAGAAAAAATAAGACATACTTGCATCACATATCTTATACTTTTATAAAGCAAAACCCCATTATCTATTTATCTCAATGTGCAAGTTGTCTAACTAGGCAATATACTATCATACCATTAAAATCTACTAAGCAAAACTCCATTAGCTATTTATCTCAACATATAAACTTTTCAACTAGGCAATGCACTATCACATACAATTAAATCCACTAGCACATACAACTATAGTGTCCATGTCAGCAAGACACATAAGCATTTTGTTGTCCACGTCATCATACCACATAATCCACTAATCCGTAATTCCCGCAGCAACGTAACGTGTAAGTCAAAAACCCACATTGTCACTTGTGATCTAATGTATATTGTGTATATTAATCCAGTGAACTCTATTTAAGTGAGATTGACGAATGTTTAACTATGAATTTATTATCTGTTATTAATGTGATTTTATTATCTGAATTGACGCGCGCTGGGCCAATAAAGGGGTCGCTGGAGATGGGAGGCTCGGATTTCATTTGGCTCTGTTGGTTTGTGGGTGATCCACTCATTCTTCTCCCCACGCGCCAAAACCCCAGCCACGGGGCCACGGCCATCTCCTCCTCCCGTTCGTCACTTCGTCCCCATCCAAAAGCTGCCCAGGAGGGGGGGAAACACTTATTTGCAGCGCGAACACCTCAAAAATCACTCGCTACTGCTGTTGACGCGCGGCGGAGAAAGAGAGCGAGGGAGAGATGTCTCTGCAGTGCGTGGCGCACGCGGTCCGAGCGCTTGCCGTGCTTCCGGCGCCAGCCTCCCCTCGCCGCCGGACAAGCCATGTGTCCCTATCCCTTCCGACCCGGCGGCCAGGGCTCGCCGTCGCGCCGATCCACGCGGCGGAGTCGTCCTCCCCGCCCGCCGTGCCCGCCTCCGCGGCCGGCAAGGCCGTCGTCCTGGACGACGAGTTCTCCCTCGCCAAGGTGGGCAGCCTCGGCTATTTCTTGCTTCTGGGAACATGGTTGCAGCCCCGTGGCGGTTGTCACCCCGAGCAATCAAATGCTGAATCTGCCGTCGTTTGCAGGTGTCCTTCGGTGTGATTGGGCTGGGGGTTGGGCTCTCGCTCCTTTCGTGAGTTCTGAATTTTTCCAGTCTTGTCAGTCTAAGAGATTCAGAATGATGTGTCGTGGAGGTCATGTGTTCTTGCATCTCAGGTACGGATTCGGGTCGTATTTCAACCTGCTTCCTGGTTCGGAGTGGTCAGCTTTGCTGCTAACCTACGGGTTTCCTCTCACAATCATCGGCATGGCCTTGAAGGCAAGAACTCTCCTTATGTACAAGACATTACTGGATGACATCTATAGGGACGATCCTCTCAAACTCTACGGGTGCCTATGACCGTCATTTGTCTTCTCTAAATTATGTGGCTTGATGTTTCGAGCTTGATATTAAGTTTGGGATGCAGCTTGCACCTAGAATATCAATTGGGTGATAGTGATTTAGTAATTTATTAGGTTGAAGCTGCTCAGTTTCTTTGCTGCTGTATGTTTTCATTCTGAATTTTCTAAATGCAGTATGCAGAACTGAAACCAGTGCCCTGCATAACCTACGCTGATGCCTTTGCTCTAAGAGAAAAGTGTGCTACCCCTATTCTGAAGCAGGTAATATTTCTTTTATACAATCAAACATAACTACTTAGTATGATGTTGTGAACTGTTTATATTCTGTTATATTGTTGTCATAAGTAAAATTTGGTTATATTAACAACAGTTTCCTAAAGGTGGAACTTCAAAATGAGATGAACTTGAAATTTGTATGGAAAAGAGGTATTCTGCATAGTGCATAGATGGGAAAAGAAACTGACACTATTTCAACACCACCTAGATAATACACCATGAAGTCAGACGTTTCAGTCTTGAGGATCAAAAAAGAAGAGTGTTAATACTAAGATTCTTAGTTAATTTCCAGCAATCTCCATGGAGGATCTGACTAAGGCAAACAAATAACTCCTTGATTAATTTTTGTTTCTTGCCAAAGTGATATTGACTGTCACTTATTTAGATAGATATAAGAAATTTAATAAATTTTGGCATCACAATATCATTTAAACTTACGTCCAACCACAATCCCTGATAGTGAATACAACTAAAGCTTGATGATATATTTGATTCTTTTGCAGCACACTTTGGTAGCTTAGATCATTGGTGAATTTTTTGTAAATGCTAAATCATTCTAATCAGTAATTATCAAAATGGTTCAGCACATGTTTTAGAGCTAATAGTGCATTATCGTTTAAGCTCTTGCTCTCATGCCTGAACTTGGCCTTTTGGTTATTAATATTTTCACACGTTTTCAAGGAAAAGAATTGAAGTTGTGATCTGAACTGACAATATAGCATAGAAGGATCAAGCATGCATTCAAATAACAGCAAATTTCTACGTTGCCATTTGTTTAATCTGACATAGTTGCTTATCTCTAGGTCAGGAGTGATGTTACACGTTTTAGATATGGTGATGAGCAACACCTGGATGAAGCACTACAGAGAATCTTTCAATATGGTTTGGTAATTCTTCATTCTGTCCATTTCATGAAATTAACATTGTTTTTCTTTATTGACATGGGCCATTTTCAAGCTATGCAAATGGCCACTGATATGTCTTACAAAATGTCTCTCTTTCGTGGTAAGGATTTTGTTGTTATCTTATGGCTCCTTTCTCCCGTACATGGTAGGGTGGTGGCATTCCTAGACGTAATGCACCTATATTACAAAAGATTCGAGAAGAAGTAAGTTCAATGTCTGTTCGTTTTATTCTTGGAAGTGGTAATCTTCATATATTGCAAATTGTAATTACATTTCATTTTGGGTTTTGTATAATGTACTGACTTTTAAGAGTTGAGTCAAATTCATAGTAGTCTAGGGAAATCAACTACGTGGGCCAAATAGACTTCAGACAATCCACACAATTTGTGTGGTGTGCGTCATTGTGGATTAAAAAAATCGACATGCGGGAAGTAAGACAGCCCCGGAGCACTCATTAAGATCTTCTTACGCAGGTCGAGAAAACCCCCAAACCCTTGTCCCACCCATACACAGCAGCACCGTAGCCCATGTGGGAACAACCACGACCGGGACCACAACCGTATGCTTTGGTATGGGGCAGGGGATTTTTTAACCCCAGTCTAAAAATTCGATCCCACGGGGAGAAAATTCTGATTTTCTGCAACGGGCATAACTTCTTAATTGGTTAATTGGAAGGATTCTCCAATCTAATTAGACGATAAAAATATAATGCAGGGAAATGTTAGGTTTTCCTATGAGTGGACCCTTTACCTTTTTTAAAAATCCTAATTATTCTTGATTATGGATTGAAAAGGGATGTTATGAATTGAATATGTAAAAGAAACAATGTATTGATAAAGAAACTCTATTTCAAAGTCAAAAGAGAGATTGAGCACCTGAGGAGTGCTATTCAAGCCACCTAACCAACTCAGCTAGAGACCCTTTGGTAGTCATTGTGGATTTGACATTTCTCACTATAGGATATTACTGAATCATTTTATGCTGTTATTTCAAGCAAAATTAATGATAAAATTAAGTTAGGATGGACATCTTCTGTTTTTCAGTCTACAAATTATCTACATGAGTTACTAAATGGCCAGCTCAATTTCCTTGGCGTGTTTCTCTTACAAGATTCACTGTAATATTTTGAATGTAGGTAACTGAGGATGGGAAATACAGTTTAGTACTCGTATTTGAAGCCAAAGCATTGGAGCTATCTGATTTTGAGAAGAGACAGGTGAAAACACCTTCTTTAGTTACCTGTATTGTCTGAAGCATGAAACAATACTAATATTGTGTTAACAACAACAACAACAACATAGCCTTTCAGTCCCAAGCAAGTTAGGGTAGACTAGAGTTGAAACCCACCAAAAGCCCCAAGTCACGGTTCAGGCACTTCAATAGCTGCTTTCCAAGTACTCATATTCAAATTATCTCTAGGTATATCATAAGCTTTCAAATCTCTTTTTATTACCTTTCCCATGTCAATTTCGGTCTTCCTCTACCTCTCCTCATATTATTAGCTTGGCTTAGGACTCCACAATGCACTGGTGCCTCTGGAGGTCTTCTTTGGACATGGTCAAACTACCTCAACCGATGTTGGACAAGTTTTTCTTCAATTGGTGCTACCTCTAGGCGATCACGTATATCATTGTTCCGAACTCGGTCTATTCTTGTGTGACCGCAAATCCATCGCAACATACGCATTTCTGCAACACTCGGTTGTCGAACATGTCGAATCTTTTTAGGCCAACATTCTGCTCCATACAACATAGCTGGTCTAATCTCCCTTCTATAGAATTTTCCTTTTAGCTTTTGTGGTACCCTCTTGTCACAGAGAATGTCAGAAGCTTGTCGATTCTATGGCTAACGTCCGCATCAGTATCTCCATCCCTTTGTAGCATCGATCCCAGATACAGAAAGGTATCCTTCTTATGCACTACTTGACCTTCCAAACTCATATCTCCCTCCTCCTGTACAACTCCGCCAAAGTCGTATCTCATGTATTCAGTTTTAGTTCTGCTCAATCTAAAACCTTTAGACTTAAGGGTCTGCCGCCATAACTCTAGTTTCCTATTTACTCCTGCCTGGCTTTCATCCACTAACACTATATCATCAGCGAACAACATACACCAAGGGATATCCCCTTGTATGTTTCTGGTAACCTCATCCATTACCAAGGCAAAGAGATACGGGCTTAAGGCTGATCCTTGATGAAGTCCAATTTTAATCGAGAAGTAATCTGTGTTACCATCGTTTGTTCGAACACTAGTCACAACATTGTTGTACATGTCCTTGACGAGGGTCATGTACTTTGAGTCGGTGTTTCGAATAAACGCCAACGAGTAAATTTGTATTTATTGCGCGTTGGGCCCGGATGGTGTGCTAAAAGACAAGGTTTATACTGGTTCGGGCAGATGTCCCTACGTCCAATTTGCGGCTGCTGCTCGTATTATTAGCACTGAAAGGTTCGTAGTAGGGGGTACAAACGTGCGAGAGAGGGACAGGTCCCAAGTCTGTGATGGAAAGGTCGAACGGGTGCTAAGAGTGTGGATGCTGCTTAGCTATGTGGTGTGATGTGTGTGGAATCGATTCGTTCGGGTGCCCTGTCCTCCCTTTTATAGATCAAGGGGAAGCAGGGATTACAGATGGGAGAAAGAAGAAAAACCAGAGGCAAAGAAGGTCCTTCGAAGGTGCCGGGTCTTTCTTTTCCTTTGAGCCTGCCCTACTGACACGGCAGACGATGCCAGGGATAGCACGTTCGCTGATCCTGATAGGGCCGTGCTCTGGCCTCGTTCAGCAAGTGGTTACGTCTCATCCCGCCCCGGCGGGCGGTGCGACGCACCAGGGTGCCGAGCCGCGACCCTACGGGGAGCAGACGTCGTAGAGGCCCCACGTTCGTTACTGTAGATGATATGAGTTTCCTCCTGGACCGTAGTGGTTGCCTTCCTCCTGGACCGTAGTGGTTGTCGTATATTTCCGTCAGGATTTGTGTCCGAGGGCAAATGCCGGCGCCCATAACACTGTAGGACAAATGTTGGCGCCCACAACACCGTTTGGGCTCTGACATGCCTGGAAGGGCTTAAAGTGCCCGTCTGGTCATATCCTGATGGTATTTTCCTGCAGGCGTGCAGGGTATGGTCCTCGATATTGCGGTAGACTTGAGTGCCCCGTCTTATCTGCGTGCGTAGTTATGAAGGAGTAGCGCACAAACGTCGGGCGAGGCGGAGCCTGCCCCCGGACGTCGGGCGAGGCGGAGCTTGTCCTCAGACGTCGGACGAGGCGGAGCCCGCCCCCGGACGTCGGGCGAGGTAGAGCCAGCCCTCAGGGGTCGGACGAGGCGGAGTTAGCCCTCAGGGGTCGGACGAGGCGGAGTTAGCCCTCAGGGGTCGGACGAGGCGGAGTTAACCCTCGGTCGTTGGGCAAGAGGTGTAGTCGCGTTCTTGTCCGTTCGGAACCATCAATATTTGATGGTTATTAGCTCCTCTTTGGGTACCCCAGTATTCAATCCCTGACAGGACTTTATGTTTGTTCAAAGACCATCACATAACATTTCTTGGTATCTTGTTATAAGCCTTCTCCAAGTCAATGAAAATCAAGTGGAGGTCCTTCTTCTGCTCTCTAAACCGCTCCATAACCTGTCTTATTAAGAAGATTGCTTTTGTGCTTGACCTTCTGGGCATGAAACCAAATTGGTTTGTTGATATCTGCGTCGTTCCTCGCAGGCGTTGCTCGATGACTCTCTCCCATAACTTAATAGTGTGGCTCATCAACTTAATTCCCCGATAATTAGTACAACTTTGGATATCTCCCTTGTTTTTGTAGATTGGTACCAATATGTTTCTTCTCCACTTCTCAGGCATCTTGTTCGATCGAAAGATATTGTGGAACATCTTGATTAGCCATACTATAGCTATAACCCCGAGACATCTCCACATCTTGATTGGGATACCATCAGGGCCCATCGTTTTGCCCTCTTTCATCCTTTTTAAGGCTTCTCTGACCTCCGATTCTTTTAATCCTCCGCACAAAGCGTCTGTTAGTGTCATCAAACGAGTCGTCCAGCTGAACGGCGGTGTTCTCGTTCTCACCATTGAACAATTTATCAAAATATTCTTGCCATTTATGTCTGATCTCATCCTCCTTCATCAAGAGCTGCTCTCTCTCATCCTTTATGCACTTGACTTGGTTGAAGTCCCTTGTCTTCCTATCGCGAACTCTAGCCATCCTATAAATATCCTTCTCTCATTCCTTCGTACTCAAACGTCGGTAAAGATCCTCATAGGCCCACCCATTTGCCTCACTCACCGCTCGTTTTGCAGTCTTCTTTGTCACCTTGTACTTCTCTATATTATTTGCACACCTGTCATGATACAAGCGCTTATAGCACTCCTTTTCCTTAATAGCCTTTTGCACATCTTCATTCCACCACCAAGTGTCTTTCGAGTTGCATCCGCTCCCTTTTGTCACTCCAAGCACCTCTGAAGCAACCTTCCGAACGCATGTTGCCATCTTCTCCCATATGTTGTTTGCATCACCTTCATCATTCCAAGGGCCCTCTTCAATGACCTTTTCCTTAAAGACTTTTGATGCCTCCCCGTCTAATTTCCACCACTTCGTTCTAGCAACCCTAGCTTGTTTATTACCACGAGCTTGCACCAGAAAGCGGAAGTCAGCCACCACCAGCTTGTGTTGAGCGACCACACATTCTCCAGGTATCACCTTACAGTCCACACATGTTCGTTTATCCCTCTTTCTTGTAAGGACAAAGTCGATTTGACTAGAGTACTGGCCGTTACTAAAGGTCACTAAATGGAACTGTCTCTTATGGAAGAAAGTGTTAGCTATCATCGGATCAAAAGCTATGGCGAAGTCTAAGACTTCCTCTCCCTCCTGGTTCATACTACCATATCTGAAACCCACATGAACCGCCTCGAAACTTGCACTTGATGTACCTACATGGCCATTAAGATCACCTCCTATAAAGAGCGTATCGCTACTATGGACAGCTCTAACCAAGCGATCTAAGTCTTCCCAGAAAAGCCGCTTAGCACTCTCATCATGGCCTACTTTAGGGGCATACGCACTAATTACGTTTAAGACCATATCACTAATGACAAGTTTAACTAAGATGATCCTATCCCTTGCCTTCTCACCTCCACCACACCATCCCTAAGGCTCTTATCAATCAAAAGTCCTACTCTATTTTTATTTGAAGTTGTTCCTGTGTACCAGAGCTTGAAGCCGGTATTGTCCACCTCCTTCGCCTTTTGCCCCTTCCATTTAGTCTCTTGGACGTATAAGATATTTACACGCCTCCTAACCGTTGTGTCCACTAACTCTCTTAACTTATCTGTAAGGGACCCTACATTCCAGCTACCTAAACGGATCTTAGTTGGCTCGACTAGCTTCCTTACCCTTCGCACCCGCCGAGGTAGGTGTGAAGACCCTTGCTCATTTTGCACTACACCCGGGCGCCGATGTGGCGCGCCACTAAGGATGTGACGACCCAATCCTTGCTCACTTACACCGTGTCCAAATCGCGACACGGCGCGTCACGGGGGTGACGACCCGGCCCTTGCTCATTTAACACCATACCCGGGTTCCGACATGGCGCGTCGCTAAGAGGGTTACGCCCCAACAGGATTCTTTTGGGTTTCATCTCCATTAAAGTGGCTAAGTTTTTACATTGGCTTGCCGCGCCTAACACAACCCTTCTTCTTTACCAGGGCTTGAGACCTGCTATGCTGGGACACCAAAGGCGCCCCATCATAGGCGGAGTTAATACTAATATTGTGTTTAGAAATATTAGAAGCAGTTTGAGTTTGAAATAGATTTCCTGAACAGTCAACTGTTTAAAAAATAGGTTTTGAATAAAAACGACCAACCTAGGAGGGACTAGGTGTCATTATAAATAATAAGAATAAGGCACCCCAAATCAATTTGAATAGGACTTGAACATGGGTGGTGGGTTTGTACACCCACACCTCGCACCGAGTAAGCCTAGCTTAGTTCCTTTCAACTAAGGAGTTATTTCCACAGCTTTGACAATGGCTACCACTTTAGCCAAAATTATATGATGTTGAACAAATCTTGTTGCACAAACAATCCAACTGCTCTAAATATTATTCCTGCTGACAAACGAAGCTCTTAAACTTTTCTCTCAAAAATTAACAGCACAACCACTGAAGATGCTTCATCCATGTAGGGATGCTGCTTATATTGTCTGTTGGGGTGTACTATCTTGAATAGCTAAGCTGTTACACCACGAAACACATCTTGTCTTTTTACCCAAAATCCATAATGGCAGAATTGAATATGTAAGATTATTTGAGTATTGATGCCTTGCACATATTTTTCTGCAGGCTAAATTCACCTCCTTTTTTGGTCCTGGGATTAAGGCAGAAATTGGTAGGTTTTATTAATTTTTGTATTCCTCCAGAATACTATGAAGGCTATATTATCTGTCTCACCCATGGTTGCAACATTATTGTATCAATGCAGGAAAAGATGGCGATGATCTATATGAAGTTTGTCTTATCTCAGAGACTACTTAGAAACAAAGTTTGGGAGTTTTCTCTAATACAATACTAAACTTATTCCTTTTTTTTTCCTTTCATCCACTGATTTTGCATATATGATGTTAATAGTGTCAGATTTTACCCTTGTTTTTGTTGTGCCTCTGAGCTTTGATGTATATTGGTTGTTGATTCTTGACTGCGGCCTGACACCTTCATACACTCCATGGACATGTGCAAAGAAAAAGCTGTTGTATATAGATGTAAATGGACTTGATTCTGAACGCTGTCCATATAGTTAAAAGCTATTTTGCTATGTTTTTTTCATGGCGTTGAATAGTGGTTGATTCGATAAATACTTCTTTCTAATGTCATTGGCTAACTTTTGTCCACATGAGAAACGTAGTGCCACTGCTACATAGTTTACTTCTTGGGAAGGCAGCAGCAGAGTATTTGTATATATAGACATACAATTCAGACATTGTTTCTTGACAGTGGACTTTGTAAAAGTTCTTCACTGGTGTAGCATACACAATTCTGTACTTTTGGCATGTATTGTGGATCACTTCTCTCCTGCATTCACATGCAGAGTGAAACGTTTCAGCGAAGGATCGACAAAGCTGTGAACTGTGATGAATAGAGAATTGCTGCAACAGATCTGAGGATCATGAAAGCCTCGAGTAATTAATTCATTCCAGGATCTGGATCTAGGTAAACACTGAGCACTGACAATAGTAGATCCTTCTTCTGGTAGGCCAGATTACTGACAAAGAGCAGATGAAAAATATTTGCAATCAAGTGAATGTTTGCTGTGTTGCATCTAGAACCCCATGATTCTGGGTCCCAACTCCAGAAGCAGAACATCCTGGTGAATCTGCAGCAGGTTTACAGGAAGTCAGTCAGGACCCTGGCATGGTTTGCTCACTGGAAAGCATTACAGTAAGCTAGCAGCAGTCCAGGATGCAGACTGACACTGTGGAGGGTGAGAACAAGAACCTCCCACATGCTGAAGGCGTGATGCTTTCTGGAGGTCATGTGAGCAGTGGCTGTAGTTGTCCTGCAGCTTCCACTCACATGTATGACTCCCAAGCCACATGCATCCATGATTAATGTAGTGTGTGGCTACACTAGAAAGGAGATTTAGACTGATGCCTTCTACATCTACATATGATGGTCAAATGAGGAATCTTATGGCCAGTCAGCCACATCTGCTACCTCGTCCTTGCGGAATTATTGGCAGCTTCACGAATCACGATCTGGGGGGAGCTCGATTTGATCCGAATGGGGTTTTATTTGTAGCCGTGATGTGGCATACGAGGTCCGTGTCAAGATTTCTAAGAACAACTGATCCAAAATTGAGACAACCAAATAACAAGCACAAGATTCTACAGATAGAAGGAAAATGTTTATTAGGGGGGGTGAAGAAACGATGCCCACCAAACAATGTCACTGTTCAATAGAAAAAATAATAAGCCAAAACTTTAACATAATTCAGAAACCCCATCCTGTTTTGACATTGATAAGCCATAGTTTTAACATAATTCGACAAGATCGTACCTGGGCCCAACCAAAGTATTACAGTTGAGCCTTGACTCTGAGTGAACGCATGTTCTTGCTCCGCGCCGTCACGTGCATGGTAATGCGTGCACGGCGTGGCGTGGCGTGCAACGCTCCCAGATCTTCCCCCGGCCGGTTTGGTTGGCGGTGCCGCTGCGGCGAGCCTCTCGCTGCAGGTAGACATGCATGCATCCACGATCCATGTGGTACACTTGCCGTGCTGTTCGCGCTAGAGGAGCTCTCATGTGGAAGCATGACCAGTCCATGCATGCATCCTTTCTCTCCGATCCCTAGCTTGCTAATCTATTCCTCTTAACTGTCTCATTAGCCTTTACAACAGCCCTCTAGTTGTCCTTGGTGCACTTTTCATCTATAGATCCCACTCGCCTGCAGCCTAGGAACTAAAGCTAGTTAACTCGTTTAGCTTTTGACAAAACCATCAGGCCACAAAGCTGTAATTATACTCGATCCCAATCATGCATATCAGGAGCTAGCTGCAACTTCCTTTTTAATAATTGGCATGTATGTAATACTTGATGGTCAAGGCACACACACACACATATGGCATTCACATGAGAATATCAATGCTGCCTGATCGAGAAGATGCCTCATCAGATCAGAAGCTATAAGTCATGTCCACAGCACACAATATTCCAGCCTCCACTCTCTTCAGCTTCTCACAAAGCAGCACCATTATGAAGTCTCCTCCCACTGCCAAGGCACTTGTTGTAGCCACCCTCTCAGCCCTGCTGCTCCTTCTCTTCTTTGTCCTGCTCTGTGGCTCTTCTTCATCATCGCCATCGCCGCAGCTGCATTCGCGACCGTCTATTGTGAGGAGCAGAAGGCTTCTATCGACGCAATGCCGTGATGCCAACTCTTGTTCGACGCCTGTGAGCGGGTTCAGTCAATTCTTCAAGGCACCAGCGACAGTGTTCGAGAGCTTGAAGAAGCTGCCCAAGAGCAGGTCCAATCCATCTCACAATTAGGCATCCCATGTGTGGTTAGTAGCGCTTGAGTTAGCCTAGTTTGTTTTTCAGTGTTCTTCTCAACCTGGCCTCTCTACTTTGTTCTTTTTGTAGTGGTGGATCACTTCAGCTGGTCCATTTAGTTCAGGATAGGCACCAGTATGTACATTTTGGGGGCAAAGCTAGCTAGCTTAACTGCAGCTCGGCATATGTATGTACGTTTTGAAGCAAAATCGATGTTTAGATCTATGTAGTATATCTGCTTATTCACATTAGATGAGAGGATATCGACGGTAATATCGTACACTTTTAGTGGATTCCCTTCTTTTTCTTTGAAATCTCAGAAGGCTTTGTACATTGCGTTAGATCTCACATGGTTCATGCATTCATCATTCATGTGTTGCAACTTGCAATAACTTTATTTGGGGCCTGTTTGCAACATTACAATTGTCCATTCAATTTCGTGACATGGCGAAGTTCTTGGATTAGAAGATCAACATAACCAATGTAATGTGACTGTCGTTGACTCGTTGGCACTGCAGGATCTCTAGGCCCTCAAGGCTAAAAAAAAGAGAGAATTTTGTTTGGGTTCAGCTCAAATTTAAATTATTCAATCCTTAAATGTAATATCTTGCATGCCAACAACAGAAACTTTTCATTTTTCGGTTTAAAACAAAAACGGTACATGCTGATGAGTAGCAACCAAAAATCGCAGTCTTATATCACTCAAAAAATACACCCTCAGAAAATAGGAAGAACACAATGAAATTAAGAAGAAAAAAACTAGACAACATTATACTCCCAGGGTTTTTCTTCGACGAGTGACATGCTCAAACCCATTGTTTACAGTAAAAAGGAACAAAGTTCAAGCTTTTCTTCATTATTACACACAAGGGTCATTACGTGATTAATGAAAAGCCCAAGGGCCTAGGCCCCTTGCGGACGGACCGAACCCAGTAACTACCAGAAACCAGTCACAGTACTACCCAATTATTCATGGTCCAACACAGCAGATGTATTACTCGTGGGTCTGCACATAAACAATAAATGTGGTCTTAACGAATCCTTAAAATTGAGGACATGACTGATTCTGAGAAAGTGAATCATTTGTCAGAATTGCAGAAGTACTGAAATTCTAAAGACAGTTTGCAATCCGTTCGCAGGTTGTCGGACAATTTCATTACAGCCAAAGGGGGACCTTGAAACAAACTTTCCATAACACAGCAGTGCTAAACCAACTATTCACATTGTCGCTGGAAACATAAACATTCACTGCCATTTACAGCTAACCACAACAGATGCTATGTCATGGTATTAAGGCCTGCTGGGCAGTTACAAGAAACCGTGGATCATCAGAAGGCGATAGATATACCTCCATACTTTTCACATTGGACGGCTACATGATGAAACCACAAAACTCATCGTGCTTCCAGAATTTGAAGGAATGGACGAACTAGCACCTCGGACAAACTCACAGTGGCATGCTTCTTCATGGTCTCCTGCCAGACTCCATTGACTCCAAGATAGGGCTGGTGTCCCTCAGGGCAATGCCACCATGGTCTTCTTGTTCATCTTCAGACTCTGTAGGTCTTATGTTGATTGAGTTTGCATTACCATCGCTGTGCGTCTCAGCTAGCTGTTGGAAGTATGCGTGTGGCCATAGAGCTGCAAATGAATAGGAACGGGAACATGTAGTAAAATGTATGAGTTCAATATCTCATCAGCATATATTATTGAGAAGGGCAAAAAAGGTACCATCATTGTCAAAGGGAAACGGGAAGAACTGCAGGTAACAGAATGAAGCAACTGTAAGACCTGAAAAGAAATAAGAGAATGACACTCCACATATGACTTCTGATTGTAAAGCGTGTTCTAAATGTTAAATTCAATAGGGCATCAAATAGTAGCAAACCTAAGATGCCGCCAGCAAAGACATCTTGCCAGTGATGCCAGTAATCATCAACTCGAGAAACCGCCACAAGTGACGCGACAAGTAGAGGCAGAAAAACTAAGCACAGTTTTGCAATGTGACCTTTGCGATCAAAAGCTTTAAGTTTTCCAGCCAAGTACCACGCAAGAAAACCTAGACCGGCAAAAGACCCTGCAGTAGGTGACAAAGAACAGAAACAGATTCATCAATTCACCTTCTGAAAAGGGGAAAATTTAGCATATTATGGCAAACACCCAGCAGGAAACCCCCTCAACTGAGAAAGCGTAAACAACCTGCTTGCAAAGGTGATGCATGCCTCAAAATGATATGCTGAAACCAAATGCTGCTAACAAGTAACCAATGCCAAGAGAATCCATTAATATCATGGAAACTGTGTACTGTGTGACAAGAATTATCAAAAGGCTATATAGCTCAAGAATATATAACAAGTAACCAATGCCGAGAGAATTCATCAATATCATGGGAACTGTGTACTGCGTGACAAGAATTATAAGAAGGATAATCTCTGATTGTCAGACATAGCTATTTATTAAGATTTTGGAGAACTGTATTAGGAAGAAAAAACAGCAATTCCAAGAGGGCACAGGGCAGTAGCTAAAGTAATTCTGAATACATAAATAACATGAAAGGAAAGAAAATGCAGGATATCCTCAAACGAAAGGAGAGTTACAATCATAGTCCAACAGTGTTTTCAGGTAAAGGTATTCATGTGGAGAAACAATTGCATCAGCACTGCAACCAAATCATTGACCTTTGTTTATTCATTGTTTAGTTGTTTACCGATGTTCTCTCTTTTCTTATTAGTGAAGTTGCAATATTATAATGTATTACCTTTCAATAAAAAAAAGTTGAACCACTGACAAAGTAATTAACAAGTACATGACACAAACGAAATAACTAATGTACTAGTTTGATTAAAGATTTGAGATAGCGTCACAAATTTCCTAAGTTTTTCCTCTTAGCAGGAACTCACTCTGCAAAGTTCTTATATAGGAGAGTGCTCGAACAAAACCATTAACAAGCAATAGAATATAAAAGATAAACAGTGACTGAACTCAGCTGAAGGATTAGTACATCATAAAGGATTCAAAATAACAAGTGTTTCATATACAGAAGCAAGTATTGTCAAACCTCATAAAGTTCTCACAACTACATCCCAAGACAGTGGATCAATCAATCACTACAACATGAGTTCTCACAACTAGATCTCAAGATAGTGGATCAATCAACCACTACAACATATCAAAATAACCACAAAGCATAATGGACATAATATACCAAGTAATTTCATTTCTTACATGAAGAATGCCCACTTGGGAAGCTCTTATGACCTTCCTTGATGACACTCTTTTCTCCATGGCAAATCACATCGGTGGTGATATTATCATAATTCTGGATAACAAATATCGGATTTAGTGACTACGGGTTTAAACTTTGACCTTAGAGCATGTCAGCAGTATGAACTTGCATAAGAAAAAATGGCACTGATGGAAGGATTTACAGGTTTGCCATCAGGAAAACAACGCCAAAAGAAATCTGGCCGAGGGCGGCCAACACCATCCTTAATTGCATCAGTGATCACAGCAGTTATAAGCACTGAATATAAGATCCCTGCATAATTTTTTTTAAGTTCAGCAAAAACTAAAACTGTCCATTGACAAATAACATCTTTAGAATGTCAGGTACCTAGTATGCCATGGTGTAAATCATAGACATTTTTCTTTTTGAAGTAAATGACGCCAAAGATGACCCAGGGTAGCACGATGGCAATCAGCTGTAATCAAGAAAAAAATAACATGCCTAAGGACATATTGTGCATAGCACAGTTAAATCAATATTTGAAATCAAAATATGAAGTACCAGAGCAAGAACATACTGGAACAGCCCAAAATGGGATTGTGTTGCCCTTGAGTGGATAACTCAAGTCAGTCATCATCTCGCGTCCAACAAAGCGGTGAAAGGGTTCGATTATGTTTAACAGTCCATCAAGTACAGCAAGACATAAAAGTATAATCCAGTCATACATGTGTACTCTTGCCAATTTGGTGCCATGGGACTGTATAGTGTGGCATCCTAGCTGGATATCAGGCATTCTCCCCTAGAATTGAAAAGCAAAAGAAAGAACTTTGTAGTTAGCAAATAAAAGATTGAGTCATGCATGGACTGAAGATGACATGTGAGGAGATTATAAGAAAAAAAAAAAGAAGGGGGTTGTGAAACATTTCAAGCAGAATGTATTCTCATGTGGTCCAAAATTTGTTACTTAAGTGTTAAGAAAGAAAAAACATTATCCCATAAAGCTTGTATTGTGCAGAAAACAGAAACTCTTTAAACATTTACAATGAATTGAAAAGACCCAGAGTGTAAATAACCACAATTAGATTTTAAAAAAAAATCATGTAAGCAGTCAAATCAATATGGAGTCCAAAACAGTCCTAAAGAGGGCAAGGTCAAAACAGACCAAGCTATTCAAAAGAAAAAAGAATCAAGTGGTAACGTCCATTTTCAGTTTAGTAGAAACGAAGGACTGTCTAGCTCCAGGTAGTGGAAGTGGGACAGCAACATTTCCATGGCTCAAACATTGATAACATCCCCCTTCACAGAATATGCAGCATAGTACGCAGTGGATGAAACTTAAATGGAATATTGGTGTATACGATATAAATGCTTTTTCTTGCTACTCAGAACAAAGTAACCCTAGCTGTTTAACCAAAGAAACAACAAAATGATGATGGCTTCAGCCAAATGTAAAGGTGTTTCAAATATAAAGTGATCCGAAATAATATAATCCACATAGGACTACATATAACTGCAGCTCAACTAAAGCATTGCAGGAGTAACTCTCTCGTGTTGCTTTAAAGAACAAAAAAAATCCCAAAAAAAACTGAATGAACAAAAAGAGGTTTGAGTTGGAAAATGCACAGGTCCCATTATGCAGAAGCTGAGCACTGCTAGTTCTACCACTGTAACCACAAAAAATTTGATACTAGCGACTAATGACTCCACAAAAGATGGGAGTAATTTTCATACAAATTGCAGACAAGTTCAGCAACAAAAACATCAAGACTAGCTGGAAAACACTAGTTGACACAAGGTGCCGATTCCCATTAAACTATACAAAGATTTGTTACTGATTTCCCAGTTAGTAACATTTCAGCCTACACTCCTGAATAAATACAAAGAAAAATAGAAAAAAGGTAGGGTTTATCTGAGCCGAGAGAACTTACCAACTCACTCACTCCCTGATAAACTGTGCTGGTTCAGATCGATTCTCGGACGCCACAACCGCTCTACAAGAACCACTCGGAACGAAGACATTTAATCAGCGAAAGGAACGGAACCTCGACGAATTTCGCCGCAACGAAAGTGGAGGAACGCTCGGAGCCCTCTCACTTACCTCCCAAATCAGGGTATCAGCCGCCGTCGCGAGGTGGTCCGCAACGGATTCCGCCGGAAGAGAAGGGACCAAGAACGAAGTCGGCCACTGGCCGCCGATATCAGGGAACCTGTACTTCGTTTCAAAAACATAAAATACAAAGAACCCGATCGGGTTATCGGCACAAGAATCTTGTAAAGAGGAAACCTTTTTCTTATGAAAAAAGTAAAAGAATAAAAGAAAAGAAGAAGGAATTAGGGGGTGGACCTGCGGCGGAACGGAACGGGGCCCTGAAACATCTGCCAGTCCGCCGAGCTGGGTTCGGCTGGCTTGGCTCACACTAGGCCACTAGGGATGGAGAGTTCTTTTTCTTTTCTGAAACAGGTAGGGTTAGAGATTAGAGAGGAAGAGACGAGTGGAGACAGCAGCAGCAAGTAGTAGGGAGTAGGGACGGGTACTCGGGAGGAGATGGATATGGGGTTCGGCTCTGATTTGCGTTGGTTCCACTTGGAACCGGCAGGATGGATTGGGCGGTGCGCCTGTGTTTGTGAATGTGAAGAGATAAGCACAACGATAGCCGGAAAAACTCTTCCGCGTTCATCGCCAGACTTTTCGTGGAATATTTGCCACTCTTACGCCTTTTGGGTTGACTTACTAGTGAAGCCATTTTTTTTTTAACTTCGACTTAACAGCACCCACTGGAGTGAAGCGAGCTTTTGTAAAACCGTTTGGCAAAATGGCTTCCCTGTGAGAGCATGTTTTTAGGGGCAGGAGGAGCCGGGAGAAGCCACTATTTTTGGCTCCTTCCCACCCCAAAGCTCTGTGAGAGCATGTTTTAGGGCTTCATCGGTGGAGCCGCTTTTATTTTACCCCGCTTGGCGTAAAATCTCCCAAACGGCCTCGGTTACTGGAGAAGCCCTGCCAAACGGGGCCTTACTCTTACGGAGTCCGTCTCTCTGATCGTTAACTTTGTGGTGGCAACTACAAAAATATCTCAGAAAATAGTAACTCGCCTAATATTTTGCTATTTTTACTGACGTGGCATGCCAGATTAGCCAATCAGCTTGGGAACGGGTCGTTGACGCTCGAAGACCGAAGGCAAAAGATCATTTTGCCCCCGCCGTGTATTGCTTAACAAGCGCCGTCTCCTCCCATCTGCTCAGTCCACTCGCTATTTTTCCGTCCCTCCCCTTTCATTCCCCGTGGCGGCGCGAGCTCGAGGCGGGCAGGCGGGAGCTCGACGGCGGCGCCAAGTCGCAGGACGGCACGACGCCTGCAAGGTTAGATCTACTTTCTTCTTCTACCTACGCGCGGCATCTGTGAATGGGGGGATTCCTGATGCTAGGGTTTCTTAATTTTCGTGTGTTGATGTAGGATTCGGATGTAGAGCAAACCATTAGCCACGATGGTGTTGTCTCCGTATCCCCCGTGGTATGTTTCATTGTTATGGCATGTATGTGAGGGAATCCCGTATGTGAGGGATGTCCTGACTCCCAATTTTTTTGTTTTGCTTGTCACTGTCAGGATTGATCCTGACAATGCTTTTAGAATCCATGTTAGCGTTGATAAATACACTTTGGTTAACGACTATGGAGTGGTTGACCTAGATGCTCAAGAACATGACCTGTGGTTTGACAAAGAGCAATGTGTACAACCAATAGCTTTGTAGATGATATGGCCAGCAAGATCATTTGGGGCCGCAGTCGAAGAATCGCTTATTTGGGGTGTTGACATTGACAGTGGAACATAGTGGAAGGTTACTAGCAGTAATCAGTTTGAGGAGATGATAATGTCTAGGATGGATGAGAAGGTAATGCATGTTAGCCGTGATGTTATTGAGAAAGATGCAATCTCAATGATGTTGTTAGCAGAGCAAACAAAGGTGGGTCTTCTACTACTGCCGCCCACTCGTGTGACAAATGCAGGACATGCAGAATGCGTAGGCTTAGGTGACACTTGTAGTACTCCTGAGAAGGTAGAGTCAAGAAAATGTGGTTGATTGGAACACGTTGACTATATTGGTGATGAGAACTGTGATGGTGAAGCTAATGTCAGGGTAGATGAGGATCAAATCTATGAGGCTTTTTGGATTCAAGGCAACAGATGAGGCTCCTGCATATGAGGTTCCTATTCCTAACATACCTGGCGATGTGGAGGATGAAATGAATGAGGCAAAGAATCCTCATAATGATGACCTAGGAGATGAGCCAATGTTTGGTTGGGATAGAGACAACCCTGGCATAAGTGTTGGGACACTGTATCCTTGCATGGATGATTTTAGGATGGCGCTTAAAAGATGCTATTGTGAATGAGTTTCAATTGGGGACAGAGAGAAGTCCTGACAAGGAGAGGTTTAGGGGCCACTACAGTTCAAGGGTCATCCATGGAAAATTAGAGCTAGGACACGAAGGATGATGGCAGTGTCGTCGGTACCAATACTAACACTTTTTTTGTCCTTCTGATATAACCTTATTTCTGATATTTGCATGTTGTATATGAATTTATCTTAACTATTTCTGACATTTCTTCATGTATGTGCATATTCAAATCAATAAGGGTACCCACAAGTGTCCTTCAAAGAGTAGAGTTCTTAGGAGGATGGCATCCTAGAAGTGGATTGCTGAGAGGGCTATACCACTATTGAAGGACAATCCTGAGATGGGTCCCAAAGCTGTGAAGGAAGAGTTAGAGAAGAAGTACAACATAAAGATTCCATATCAGACTGTATTTTATGGGAGACAGAGGGCTGCAGATAAATTATTTGGTAAGTAGGATGATTGTTTTGATTATTTGTTTAGATTCAAGGCTGAGATTGAACTTAGGTCTCCTGGTAGTGTAGTTGAGATAGATACAGTTACTGTGGAAGGCAAGGTACACTTCAGTAGATTTTTTTGTGCCTTCAAAGCAAGTATAGATGGATTTAGAGATGGTTGCAGACCCTATATTAGTATAGATTCAACTGCTCTCAATAGTGAGTGGAATGGCCACATGCCTGCAGCCAATGCAATAGATGGCCACAATTGGTTGTACCCAATTGCTTTTGGCTTCTTTGATTCAGAGACCAAGGATAATTGGACTTGGTTCATGGAACAGTTAGGGAAAGCTTTAGGGCCAATGAACCACTTGGCTATATGCACTGATGCCTGCAAATGGCTAGAAGCAGCCAAATATGGAGCAACATGTGGATGTGGCCTACTCAGTGCACAAGTTCGAAGCAGCATATGCAGGAATAATTCATGTCATCACTGATAAGAGCCAGTGGCCGGTAGTTGAGAAGGGATTCAAGCTTCTTCCACCAATTGGGAAGAAAAGAGGACTTGGGAGGCAAAGGAAGAAGAGGATTAAGGGATGCCTAGAGAGAAGTGGCAAAGCCACAAGGCAGGTTACTTGCAAGGGCTGTGGTGAATTAGGCCATAGAAGGACCAGTTGGAGGTGCCCACTAAGTGGCACTAAAAAAAGGTAACTTACTAACCTACTTTTGCTAAAATTCTTTCACCATTGTTAACTAACTTAATGAAATTGCAGGAAGAGGACAAGAAAGACAAAGACCAAAAAGGGGCCAAAGAAGGGTGCTGACAAGGAGTATGAACCTACTCCAGCTAGTGAAACTGCAGCAGCACCACCTGAGCCTTCACCAGCTCCACCAGCAGCAGCAGCACCTGAGCCTTCACCAGCTCCACCAGCAGTAGCAGCACCATCACCAAGGACTCCAAGAACAAGGGCAGCAGTAGCAAGGGAAAGAGAGGCAGAGGAAGCAGCAGCAGCAAGGTAAAATCTGAACCTAAATTATCACTCAGGAACTTGTCATCTCGACAACAGCTCACTAAACCACTTCAAATGCAGGAGGTTGAACTTGGAAGCTCCACAGCCCCTTGAAATGATCATTCCAGAGGCTGAATCTCTGCCAAACCCTGCACCAACCAAGAAGATGACCCCTAGGAGGAAGCAGCTAGCCACAAAGGTGAAGAAGATGACCCCATGAATCCTTGTGATCCATATTTTAGGAACTTTGTTATGTCATTGAAAGGTGCATGAACAACTTGTTATGGTATTGTAAGTTGAATGGACAACTTGTAATGTATTGCCTTATAGGCCTGAACAACTTGTGATGACTTTGCTAGGGTTGTGTCATGTATGCAGACTGAACTTGCTATGTTTGTGTCATGTATGCAGACTGAACTTGCTATGGTTGTCAAGAGCATATCAGTGGTCTTGCGGTGATGATTTTTGGATATCATGTACAAGTGGAATAACATAAACAATATTCCATTAACCATTCAACATTTTCACACATATATGCCCACTGATTGGTCAGACTCATACTGAAACACAGAGCTCATTACTCAACTAAGATACAGCTTGAAGTAGTTCAACTAACAAACAAGGGAACTAACAACTAGTGAAACTAACAGAGAACTACTACATCACATACATAGCTCCAACCACTACACCAGCACCCATGACCACTACACCAGCACCCATGACCAAGCTCAAAGCCTTCACTACGCCAACCAAAGCATCCAGCTTCACCTCCATTGAGTTTTTCTGCACACGCACTAGTGCCCTTGAATCAGCTTCTTCCTCTACTGTGCCATGTTGTTCTAGATTCATCACAATCTTCCCCTGGTCCACCAATATGGCTAGGTACTCTCGCTGCCACTCAAAAAACCTACAAGATCCTGGAACCTAAACACATGGAAACATATTTTATGTGACAATCGATTCAAAACCCTAACAAATCGGAACCCAAAGAATGTGGCTTACCCCTTGCATGTTCCTGGGACATTTGAAGAAGACATGGCCCTTGTTGCCTTTCTCATCTGTCTGGGCCACGAGCTCGAGCACCCTCTGCAACCCACACTCGTCGCACATGATGAGGGGGGAGCCCTATCTGCCTCCCGAGTGGGTACTCCTCTATCCTATCCGGCAGCTACAGACGCCTATTGCGCGTTGATGAGCTCGCTCGACGGGACATGGCGGCTAGGGTTGGGGAGGGCAATGGAGGGGCGGCGGCGACCAAGGACGGGGAGACGAAGGAAGAAGAAGAAGTGCGGAGAGAACCGTTGGGATTGGGACTGAGCAGATGGGAGGAGACGGCGCTTGTTAAGCAATACACGGCGGGGGTAGAATGGTCTTTTGCCTTCGGTCTTCGAGTGTCAACGGCCCGTTCCCAAGCTGGCTGGCTGATTTGGCATGCCACGTCAGCAAAAATGGCAAAATATTAGGCGAGTTACTATTTTCTAGGACATTTTTGTAGTTGCCACCACAAAGTTGGCAATCAGAGAGGCGACCTCCGTAAGAGTGGCAAATAATTAGATGTCCCGACTTTTGTTACCGACATTTTGGGTTGATTAGGTTTTAGACTGCACCGTTGGTTGTGTTGACGTTGGAAAGATTCATGGCATAGGCCCAAAGGTGCAGCGTGCCACAGGTCCTTTTGCTCGCCATTTACACTACAACAACCCGCTCCAGGGCAAGTACATTATTATTATATGTGTGGTCTCATACTCTGTCTCACAAAGATTTTTGATGATACGAAGAAACGACAGAGCGGAAAGAGAAGATCGAACAACCAGCTCATGAACTAAAAGTTCTTTTTTTTCTCGAATACGAAGGAGAGCTTCGTATCTTTGTATTATAGAGAGAAAGAACCGGCCCCTTACAATCACCATCACCTCACTCCGAGCCGAGCCATGAGAACTATGAGACAACGATTATACTAACGTATGAGTTGTTATTGTCATGCAACTCGTAACTTTACTTTTATTTTACCCGTCAATTAAGAAATTCTAAGTTACTATAAGACAACTTAAAAGACAAGCACTATACATATTATCAATTAAGTCGTCTTAAAATTACTGGCACTATTTGAGAGTAGACAGCACCAATATGCATATATTTTACCCTTAAAGTTGAGTACACATGTTCGAGAAATGTGTCAGTTACTCCCACCGTCGAGGAAAAAGGTAATTTTTCTCTTATTAGACAAGTGATAGAATTTTAAATTAAATTAAGTATAAACAAAAATACTAACATTTATAGTATCAATTAATTATCATTAGATTAATCATAGACTATTTTTATAGTAAAATATTAAGAGATATAAATGTTGAAATTATTTTCTATAAATTTAGTCAAGTTTAAGAAAGTTTAGCTTGGTTCAAATCTAGAATTGTATTTATTTTTTGGGACATGCGAATTTCTCAGTTCAGCTGACAAATCAATTCGGCTGTCCTTTTGCCTGCCAATGGATTATCTGGTGTTTGCAAATTCTACAATAAGAGACATTCCCCACCCATATAATTAGCAGTAACCTCAACCATTCCAGCCATGTTGAAAAACAAAAGAGCCGAATGTGACCAGAGTTTATGGCTCAAGAAAAAGCTAAAGTGCAGATACATTAGGTTATGAGCTTTGATTCAGAGTCAACATGTTCCCTTGGAAATTACGACGATATCTGGATGAGATCATCTTTAGGCGTGCATGGTTATGGGCAAGTTTGCCCCTGCCCTTGCCTCAAGCAACAAGATACTTGCCAGGCTAGGAGAGTCAATTTGACTCACCTATGCAAAGCAAGCAAGGAAAATCTTGCCTGTACGGAAATCAAAGATAATTAGCTACTCATCGAACACTTTGCTCACTTCAATTTCTAGCTCAGCTAGGTAACACAGTGGTGGGCAAATAATCAAGCATACCATTAATTCCCAAGTAGTACAGGCGTAAGCACCAACCATAATACCATCTTAGCTGGCTAGATTGCCTAGATGTGCATGATTTCAGAGCACCGTCGGCAATGGTCATGGCAACAGCGCACATGGACAAGACACCATCACGTTTCCTGTTGCCACCTTTCTTTTTGTCTACTATATAGGCCAACTGGCAAATAATGTGGATCTCAGCTCACAACGGAATATCAAAGCGAAAAAACAAGGATCAAATCCATCATGTCCCGACTTTCCAAACCTCTTGCTGTCTTGTTGCCTTGCTGGTCATCATCATTCATTCTTCAGAAAAAGGATACTGCTAGAAACAAAGCCTATACGGAGTTAGTCACCATGTGCACAGACACTAAGCACAATGCTTTGTTGAGCCTCTGACAGACTGCTGTAATCAAAGGCACATGTAATGTTGGGATGTTCCTCTCTTTACTTATATATTTACTTCCAGAATGAAGCCACAAAAATCAACAGTTTTACACAAACTTGCATGTCAACGAAGTATCCACCTGAGTTTAAAAAACAACAAACAAAAGGTTACATCGTAGTAAGAGATCCATGGTACAACTTCTTTGACCTCGGCTTCCTGTTCCTGGGAGTACATGTAAACCTACTGTAATTTTTTCAACCTTTTTTCCACAACAAGATTAGCACTAACGTTTCCTCAAAAAGGGAAAGGGAGAAGCACTAACCGATGCTTGTTACAAGGATACATCAGATGAGTTTGTGTATTTGTTTTCTCCAACACACACGAGAGCTCGTGCATTCACCTATTTTCTGGCCATTGATTGAGGAGACCATGGAAAAGATTGTTCAGCTCAACTTAAAAACCTTTGAGATGAACATGTTGTTAAGTTACTCGGTGTTAGCATCATCATATAATCAATCAACAACCATCATGGCGAGAGAGGAACTCTATGATACATGGATACACATCATCGATCGCCTGCGCAATACAGAAATCATATCAGTGCTGTGCAAAACAGAAATCGTAACAGTGATGTGCAAAGATAGGTCCCATAAAACATGCCAAAATTCAATTTGAACTCCTGATGCTAGGAGTCATCAGATGGAGTACATACCAGTCGACCTCCAACCAAGTCATAATGTGCATAATGTGGGCCTTGTGGCTTTCCAAACACCCTATAGTCCACCTTGTGCTTCGGAATGAGTTTCACAGTTTCTAACAAATGGGAATTCGGACCAAACTGAAATTAGCAATCTGCACAGTGAAGTAATTAAGCTAGCAGAAGACAAAAGCCATGCACTACCTACCATAAACAGCCTTGGGAGGGCAGATTAGGTCTTTATCTCCAGCCAATGCAAGGACAGGAGTCTGACACTCTTGCAAATGATCCTTATACAAGAAGGTTCCATTTCGGTTGCACAGCCCACCTTCCCTGAATGCGGTTGTAAGTTGCAGGACAACCTTTGCAGGCACTGTACCTGCAAACCGTACGATTATATCAGCTTCCATAAACATATATGGATCATAACTATCAGAAGTAGCACATGGCTAATTATATGGATCCGGAGGTTGTAAAATGCACAAATGCAGAAGAGAAATCCTATTACATGAAGACAAGACAGTGTGTTATGAAAGACTACTTACAAAAGTTGTTGAAAACAAGCTTAGACAGCAACTCCGGATGCATCATGTCCTGAGCTGATATTTGAGGATTAAGCCAGGAAAAAAGATATGGTGGACCAGATGCCCACGGATATGCTGCTGCCAACAACATACCCAATGGAACAGCAGGGACATTAAGAGCTTGTGCAGGATGAGCCTGATAACAAACACATTAGCATAGTTTGAATTATGAAAATATTGAATCAATTAAATAGCAATGCTCATAGCAATCATCTCAAGCTGCCAGTTTGTTTACTCACAAGAGGCAGTAACAGCTTCAGTGATGAATTGGATGTTGTGTAGTCAACAGAAGAAGCCAAAGTGACAATGGCCGCTAAATTTGACGAAACTCCTTCCAAACCTTGAAGATTGGAGAAAAATAAATAAGATATGGTGATACATAGAAAGGCATAAACTCTAAAGAATTATGATATTTCTCAACAAATGGAAAGCTTCACTGATATACACAAAATATGCTTGCTGGCTCGGTTAAAAAGGGGGGCAGACCCAGTGCCGGAGGCTCCCACATGAGTGGGGTCTGGGGAAGGGAAAAACCGAGGCAAGCCTTCCCCCCGCAAAATCTGCGGAGAGGCTGCTTCGAACCCGCGACCTGGTGACTCAGTGAGACAGCTCTCACCACTACACCAGGCCTGCCCTTCTTGCTGGCTCAGTTAATTAAATAAAAATACACATTTGATGTGTGCTTCAGAACAAAAGGGATAAAATGTGAAGGAGACAGGAGGCCGCATGAAAGCTCAGATAAAAAGCAGTATTAGTGCCTCACCAGATCTTGACAGCATTGCATATAACAAAATTCCCCCCATTGAATGTCCAATGGCAAGCAACTTCCCATCTTTTGCTTTACTGTGCTGTCTAATATACTCCACCTGTACAAATAGACGGTAAACTTGACAATATTCCATTAAAAAGAATCGTGATTACACTAATAGCAATGAAATCTTCCTGCAATTTGGCAAGTAACAATTTAGAAAAGAGCACTTCAACTCACCGCAGCAGGTATATCCTCCTCTAGGTAATGGTCGAAGTCCCAATTATATTCAGAAGTCAGATCCATCTGTGTAGCTACAAAACGCTCCCATGAATCCAACTGGTCCTGGAAATTCTTCAGAAGACGTAGACTTTCTTCTCTCACTGGACCAATAATGGTAGAGCTCTCTACCATTTCTGAGAGAACAGAAACTTTTTCTGCGATCTCATGAAAATTTCCATTAACTACAGCCTCTTCCATGAGCTTTGATATTCGATCAAAAAAATTAGAAAGCTCAGCAAGTAAAGGTGGTTCATCCAAAGCAATTATTCCAAGGTCATCACAATCACTAGCATAGCCACCAGAACTCTGAAGGGATGTAGCCTCGAATGTACTCTGTTTATTAAGAGGCTGAATACCACCAGAGACATCCTCAAAAGTGACTGAACCAGATGCAGCAGAATCGTCATAGTCACGCATGCTAAGACCAGCACCTCTTACTTCAACTATCCACGTATCAAATCCTTGGCTAGACATGTGCCGGGCAAATGAAGCCTGAAGGTAAAATTAAAAAAGCAAGATAAAAGATATGCTAGACAAGACTAGTCTAAATAACTTGTTAGAAGAATACAGTGCCATTGCTGCCTACATATTTCCGCTGTGTGCACACTTGACAAAATTAAACAAGGTACAGAAATAACGGGGAAAAGAACAATTTTTAGCTTCTTTAATCCTATCCCTACATTATTTCCTCAAACTCTTATTTATGAGTATCAATGATAATGACTCAAACCAAAAAAAAGCAGGACACGAGATGGCAACAGTGATGCAAGCAAATAAAAACACAGCATTTCTCTCATGCGTTGAATGCAAAGGGTTAAGTAGTAAGTTTATAATTAATTTGGCAATTGATGGGACAGGTGGAACAAAAGAAGAGTGATGATAGGCCCTGGGGTAATTTTTTTCAGTTGCAGCTTGATGGTTTTTATCATGAACTGATGAAAAATTAGAAAACATTACCAGACTCACCAGCCAGTTACAATAATGCATTTACTGACTAAATTTAGGATAAAGACAAACTTAAGCAACCACAAAGAAATGAAATTTCAATCATGGCTTTCTTTGCTCCAGTTGACTAAACAAATAGGTCCTGAAGTCCCTAGCCCCTCAGAACTCCAAACTGAAACTAAATGAACACTTGATTAAACACCAACAAACAAAAGAACCAGTAGCAATCATATTCCAAACATTTATCTAAACAACACATGCAGATCACAGTTCAGGTTCGTAACAACCGTCATCTTTTTTATTTTTTGATTGACATGTTTAATTCGATTCGAAGATAATAACAAGAGGAACACCAAGCTCACCCCGGGGGAGAGGTCGAATCCGACGGCGTTCGTCCCGACTCCCGACAGCAGCATCAGCGGGTGATTCCTGACGGGAGCCTGCACGCACGCAACGCCAAATCGAATCAACTCAAATGAAACACCATTTTCGCTGTGACGAAGAAACCAAACCAAACCGAAGCGAAGCGCACATACATTGCGCGGTGGCCTGTACCGCCAGAGCGCGAGTCGCCACCCGGCGCCGTCGACGGGGGCGTAGTGGAGCTCGTCGGCGGTGCAAGCGGCCGGCTTGGCCGGCCGCGAGGGGGCGGAGGCCGAGAGGGGGATCCGGGTCGAGTCCGCGCGGATTGGGAGGAGCACACAGCGGCGGCGGCGGCAGCGAGAGGGGAAGGGAGCCTCGCCGGAGCTCCGTCGAGCGGCGAGGGTGGCGGTGGGGATCGGCTGGAGAAGCATGGCTGCCGTTCCGGGCTTAGGGGGGCCGTCCCGTGGGTCAACGTGATTCTGCTTCCCGGTGTCAAGGATATTAGGGCCCGCCTCAACGAAATTGCCTGGGCCAAATCAAATAGTAATAGAAATTCATGTAATTACAAATTTGAGCATTTTTTTGTTTGGCAGGTGACCAAACTGAGACAGAAGAAGTCTTGTAACTCCGTCCTCAAATGTGTCATTGCTGCTGACCAGCTGCCTTTGGTGGCGCTGTAACAGAAAATGGAGTCACGGTTAGAATGTGATTTTTCTTTGGACATGAATTTGATTTTGAATCTTTATTTGTCCTCCATCTCAAATTATAAGACATTTAATTTTTTTTTTACACCAAATTTGATCACTCATTTTATTAAAAAATTTGGGACGGAGGAAGTACTTACCACCGTGGACATCTTATCTCCTGCGGCTACAAGTTTGGGCTATCTCCCTACCACTACGATGGTAGAAGTTCGCCAGCAAATGGGAGAGGAGGCCACGTCATTATTGCCGTCATGGTCAGATGGTTTGGTCGTTGGAACTTGGAAGGTTGCCGAAGGACAGCGACCGGGAGAAGCCTGTGGCCCACGGGAAATCGGATGAAGCCAACTGCACCACGCCAGCGCCATTTCCCAATACTCCCAATGTGCACGTGTTTTACTCTCCTCCCAAACACGTGTTAGTACGGGAGATAAGAGATGGCCAATGCCCAACGGCGGACACAAACCCAAACAACCCAATCTTATATGTTTAAAGAAACCGATCAGACGGACCATTATATCGGTTAGTACTCATGACCCAAACAACCCAATCTTATCTTTGTTTCCAAATAAATTTATTAAAAAACTAGATTCAAATATCTTTCCAATGATACTAATTATGTACTATAAATATTAATATTTTTAATATATATTTAATCAAAGTTGTTTCTTGGGAAGCGCAAACGACAGATAAAAAGGGACAGAGGGAGTACTTAGTACTCACTTTTCAAAAAGTCAAATCAAATAGTTTAAATGTTGGTTGAAGTTATATAAAAATATTAATATTGTTTACTATAAAATTAGTGAAAGTTAAGCTAGTTTGACCGGCACGGATCCAATAATTGTATTTTTTTTTTTTTACGAAGAGAGTACCATCAAACATAACAAATGAAAAAAAAACATCAACCCAATGCGTCTTCTGTTGAACAGGAGCAAACCAAAAAATTGCTCCATGGACCTGATTGATATGCATGGCTAGTTATTAATTGAGACAAATTAATCTCAATTAGTTGTGATTAGCTAGATAGTTTACTAACAACTAGTTAAAGACTTAACTAAAAAAATTAGCTCACATGTTAACCCTCTTGATTGTATACACTAGAGATAATTTTAGTTATTTTTTAGCTAACTAATAATTAGCCTTTGCATCCAAACAAACTCCATGTCGGGTTAGGCTAACCTAAAGAGTGTCCACACAAATCAAACTCGATCTGACACAGCACATGGATAGGTTTATATGTACTCATTATATTTTTAGAAAATATATATTTAATGTAAAATAATCACAAACTCATGTTATATGTAACATCTTGCTCGATTTGAATTTAGCGATGGTAGTTCATATTATGTATTGGCGTGTAAGGTGTAAAGGAGAAAATGAGTTAAACCCAAATATAAGGCTTCTAGAGTCTATATCTTCAATCAATGGTGAATTCGGAAATCTCCTAAAGCCTGATCGAACATAACAATGGAGAACAAGTTCACATAAACATATTGGCCACCGATATAAACCAAGTTACATATAATAATTTTGAAACTAAAATCACCATTCAACATTACACATCTGAATTTGCACTATACGAAAAGTGTTATCGCAGCATCCCTTATCATTGTCATTTATTACATAACCGGTTTCACCGCCGGTTTGAGGGGTGGCCAGATGCAAAGACTATTCGAACCGGTGGTGAAAAGTCTATTCATCGTCGACATAGAGTACGATCTAGTGGTGATCTTTAATGACCTTGTCACCGCCGGTTCAAACGCCGAGCCAGCAGCGATAGTAGTTATCTCCGTTGGCCTAAAAGGGCCACATATGGATTGCGGTCAAAAATCTCCGTGAATGTTCAGTGTCCTAATATTTGACGCTATATGCCCTCTGAAACTACCCCTATGGTTTCTTCACTCCCTTCCTTCAACTTCAATCATGACAAGCTTCAAGCTATCCGACAACTACTCCAACAAGAAAGAATACGAGCGTTGGGCGAGTATTGTCGATGGGGGGTCCAGCAACGAGAGCTCGCCTGATTGAAGTCTGTGGGACTCTGATGATGATTGTGTGTTTATGATGATGGTGACGGCGTTGAGGAGGAGGAGGATGAGGATAAGGATGAGGACGAGGAAGAGGCCACCGATGAACCTCCAGCAAAGCAGCAAAGGAAAACGATCCTAGCTCGGATAGCAGGGATCTAGAGTAGATTTAGTTTAGTTTAAGAGAAAATTCCTTATATAGTCCTCTTAAAACTTAACCTTCCCTCTATGGCCCTCGGCATTTTGAACTTTCCTATTTTACCTCAAAACCACCTTTCATTCCATATTTGACCATCGGTTCTATAAAAAGGGTAATGTTAAGTCACCTATACAGCAATGCGAAATGACTTAATTACCCTACTCTTCCTTCCCTATCCTGATTGAACGCACGGGGGGCACCCACCGACGACGAGCAAAGCGAGCAGGCAGCTTATCGGTGACACTGTAGCGACTGAAACCCCATCTTCAGCTCGCTCGTTCTCTCGATTCCATGCAGAAACTCGATCATCCCCTTTAACAAAAGTTGCTCTCAGAGAGCTGCCTGCTCGCTTGCTCGTCGGTGGTCGCCTGCCGCCCTTTAGTGCCGCACTCGCGCACGCCTACACGCAGCTGCCTGTGTGGAGTAGCAAAGCACGAGCTGGAGGCCTCTCCTGCGTCGCCCTCACCCTTAAAACAGCTCGAGCCGCCGGAGCCTTCTTCCGTTTTCCTTCTCTGCTCCGCCACGGCCGTCCTCCATGGCCATCGCGCAAGGGCCGACGTGCGCTCGCCCTCTCCAGTTCACCGCCGCTCAAGACGGCCACACCCTCACCTTCCCCAATTAGCGCCGCATCTCCCGCGGCCCTCCTCCAACCGCCACCGCCATAGGAGCACCGCCTGCAGCAGCTGCCGCCATCACGACCACCATTGGTCCACCCACGCGCGGTTCATTCTCTCTTTTTTTTCCTTTGCACTGATAGCGGCTCTCGCGAGCTGAAACCCTAACCCACACGGATGGAGGTTCTCATGCTGAAACTCAATTTACCAAACGTGATTTACTTGTGTTTCCTATGTTTATGTTAGCTTGAGCTATGTTGCATAATGTCTAATAGAGGCTACGACTAAAGCAAGCAACCAATTACACATATACTCCTTTCGTAACAAAATGTAGGTTGATTTAGTTTCATAGTTAAACTTATCTAACTTTAAAAAAAATCATAGTTGATGTACTAAAACTACTATGATAAAATCTAACAGGTGGGTCTAATATATTAGAAGAGGTGATTAGTGATCTAAACAAGAATATCCCTTAATAATCCAGAATGCGGTATTGTCCTATCCCATTACCACTTCTTACCGTGGGAGTTGTATTGAGATGCTCTAAGGGAACCAAACAAATGCGCTAAAGTATTCTAAGAACAGACCATTCGAGGCCCCAGCTTTCCATTTTAGTATGAAGCCAAAACCCACACAGAAGAAAAGCAATCCAGTAAACCAAACTCCAGCACATGAATGGCGACCAGGAAGCATCACGGAAACAAAATCCATAATATGCTGAGCACTACACTCGGATGCCCAGTTAAAGACGGAACGTAAATTTTCATGGCAAGTCACTGGGACCGGCCAGTGCCACAACGTAAAGGTTTGTCCTCCGATTCAGCAGAATTAACATGGGGATACAATCTAGTTTAGATCATGTCGGAAGCATCTTCAACTGCTCTGAGCTGCCTCAGTCTTGGCTTCCGCCGACTCCGTCTTCTCGGCCTCAACAGCCTTGCCTGCAGCTTGAGGTTTCGACACTTCTTCTAAAAACGGGGGCAGAAGGAAAAAAATGATAATGTTAGGATGTCAGATTGATACAACACTACATGTAGTTGTTTTTTCTCTGCATAAGCATTACAGCATAGTTATCCAGGTCACATAAATGTAAACACAATTAAGGGTCTCAATACTAAGTATACACTGAGCTGAAACCAAATTATCAAATTTTCTTTGGTGAAGTTTATTCAGCAACAAGCCAACATGAACCAACACTATTGCTCTGGCCGTTAAGCTTATGTAAGCTTATTATGTAGCACTAGATGTATAATGATATAATGGAGTAATCATTAATATCAAACATTCTGGACAATGTAATTACGTAAGAAACAAGGAAAAAACTTCAATTTTAAAACTCAAATTATCTAGTTAAACCATTTTTCACAAGTCTGCATTTCACACCAAACAGTAAATTCATAATTTCCAAAATCTGATTGCACCCTCTTATTAGAATATTGAATATGTAATCCCCTTGTGGAAAAGGATAATGGGTTTTCTTGATCATGCATTGAAAACTGATTAGTATGGCACATGTACACATTTGACTAGCACTACATGATTCACTACTAGATGGGAAATTTACAATCTTTCAGCAATTCAACCTTTTGCTTAATGTCAACCTACATTACATAAGTTGGATTTCATGTGATTTTTGTTATCTTCTAGCTAAAAGAAGCAACAAGAAAACTAATAAGTGGGAGAGGTATAACAGCAGAAGAAATACAAACCTTCATCATCACTCTCATCCTCGAAATCATCCATTCCCATACCGCCCATGCCACCCATGCCACCAAGACCACCCATACCACCCATGCCACCCATGCCACCAAGACCACCCATACCACCCATGCCACCAAGACCACCCATACCACCCATGCCACCAAGACCACCCAAACCAGCCATATCACCCATGCCGCCCATACCACCCATACCAGCGAAATTCTACAAAACAAAGAAAAATATCAAACCAATTTTCCACAATGTCAAGGAGTCTTAGAAGAAAAACTGGTGAAAGAATTATTTACCGAGAAGTCCATCCCATCCAACTTCACATCAGTACCTAAAAAAAGGAATAGACAAATATAAGAACTTTTACATGCCCATGCCCAATGTAATGGGCAATCTTCTTGCATAACGTGTCAAACAAAATATTTTCTAGTTCATATCTATGACAACGTTGCACTATTTAAGCTTGTACATCGAATATACAAAATGATGTGGTGAAATCTAAGGCAAGTGTGCAGCCTCCAGGAAGTTGGGCACACTGTTCTTATGCCTAAGAGGTGGTGTTTGGGTATAATCTAAGGCAGAGGTGTTGCCCATGACATATTTTTCAGGTAGAAGCAGTTACAGGTAATAATCCACTACTCCACAGTGTAAATTTATCAAGTAACAAGGTTCTTGCTGTGTCTGCGGTTTACTAAGATCATGGTTCGTCATTGCGCATTAAACTTGGAAGTGTTAAACACTTGAACCAAATTTTTGTGTACTGACATCGAGTCATGTGCATGTATCAGTTTGTGTATCACCCTAGTTAATTTCCTTCAATAGTATCCAAGAATACAAGTACATAGCGTACCATCATCATCTTCGTCAACCCATTTGTCCCAATCAACTTTCACAAAGTGAGGTGCCCTTTGATCATCTCGAACAAGTTTCTTCCACCATTTGGCCTCAGCTTTTTCTACAATACAGAATATGGACCTGACCCCCACACTTATTTTGCTAGCCTGTTATATTAAGAAGTAACGTTGGGTAAGGAGGAACAACTTTAAACATCAAGGATTTAAAGTAAATAAACCTATACACATTTATATCACATGAAAATGCATTACCTCAACGTTTACTTTGTCATTCAGATCTAGTTTCAATTCATACACGTTTGTACCAGCACTGCCAGAGAATGTGAAGACACCATCTGGTTCCAAATTGACCTTAGCATCCTTGGCGTCAGGTAACTGTACAGTGATGTAAACCTTGTCGATCCTCTGGGCCCACTTCACTTCAGGGTGCCGACTACAGAAGACAATGCCACTTGTCAATCAAGAAACCAACATATAAACAGGAATTCACCTCTCTACAACCTTAATAGTTTGCATGAGAACATCTGCATAAATCCACAAGTGGGACTAGTGCAAATACACAAACCCATTGTGTAGGGGTATTATCGATCATACACAAGAGCAAATAGGAGTGATTAGAATAGAAAAACAGAAAATCAAGAACCAATTGTCCATTAGCATTAGTACCAATGTTGGCTAGCCAAACTATCCAACTAATGAATATTTTACCATCAAATTTGGTTTATAGATAGATCGGAATAAACAACAACAACGAAGCCTTTCAGTGCCAAGCAAGTTGGGGATGCGACAGCCCGGTCCTTGCTCACTTGACACCATGCCCAGATCACGACACAGCGCGTCACAGGGTGACGACCCAGGCCTTGCCCATTTAACACTATACCCGGGTTCCGATATGGCACGTCGCTAAGAGGGTTACGCCCCGACAGAGTTATCTTGGGTTTCATCTCCAATGAGTAGCTAAGTTTGACGTTGGCTCACCAAGCCTAAATATTATAAAGGAAAAGATAACCATAAACTCAAACAGAACATGATAGCTTAACACTTCCTGTAACAAGTAATCATAGATCGTTCCCAGCTGCAAGCATGTGCATACTTTCATCAACACCATTCAACAAAAATGAAGTTGAGAATCATTACAGAAGTCATGCATGACAGAATAAAACTACCAACTATCACTATAAGAAAGCAGAATTTTGGCATCTCATGTTTCAAATAACATTATTAGTATTACATTTTGAACGTTTGCATGCGGTAATGCATGTTAGATGATAGTTGACAGGCACCTTCAAGGAAAGCAGTACCAGGCAGCAAATCTGTACTCTTTTCAATGTTGAAACACGGCCCAAATAATTTAGTCACATAAGAAATTGGCAAAAAAGAATCCCAAATGCTAAACAGTCAAAATATAGCCAAACTGCGTTAAGAAATAAGAAATGCAATCTGAGACCTGCCTCCAAAATATCAAGGAATATGCAAAACGTAGCAACATATTACATTTCATGGAAAAAATCACTTCAGTGTTATGATTTTAGAAAATGTCATAATATATTAGAGAAGCAGTGATCAAAGTTATTTTTAGCTAGCATGCCATGTCTGAACGATACTTGATTGGAAGGAGTAGAAGTGGTGATTGGAACCAGAACATGCAGGAAAGTATAAATGAACAGAAGTTTGTAGGAATGAGAGGAGCCATCACTCTCTAATGGAAAAACAATTGAAGAACTATGCCACTCTAGGCATGTCTGTGATTGTGAAACTAGCTATGAAAACCAAATGGGACAACAGAAATTATACCATGCCACTCTAGGCACGTCGATCAACTTTACGTCCTGAAACAAATAACTAAACCATAAATTTGCCCACATATTGCACACTACTAGAACATCTGAAACAAACTAGACTTGTAGACTAAGAAGCCAAACCTTAAGTGCCAAAAATGCCAGATGAATGCCATGTATATCTCCAAAACCCGTGCATATCAATCTAAGCATGGTTAATTAGTGAGCCATTACCAGCACTGAAAAGCAACTGCAATTGCAGAACTATGAACACATGGACACCACACCATCACACAAAACCATGGACAACAAGCCATAATCTGCAGTTACCAGCATAACCATCTAAAGCTTTGCCCCCAACAACCCATCCACACCCAACCAACAGAACCATTCAAAACCGCGGCACCACGAAATGAACCACGCGCCCCGCCCAAACCCTAGGGGCACATCGTAACTCGAATTAAACTACAGGAAACCCAACGGTTCCATCGAGCCCAGCCACATCTCGGCGGGAAACCCCTAGGGCTCGTGCTGAGCCATGGACATGGCAGAGCGTGACCATGTGCACCCCCGCCCCCAAGATCCGCCGCGCAGCCGTAGGCGGCCGCTGCGAATGATCTTGTTCCCACCGACCCGCGGAGCGAGACCGCCGAATCTAGAGAGAAGAGTAGATGCTGGATCGAGAGCACCCGGCGGATTTTGGCTCACCTCATCTTGACGCGGCTGGTACAGGCGGCGGCGTGGGCGGCGGCGGGTGGTGGGGAGCGAGGGTTTCGTGAGGTTTTCGGGGGTGGGAGGCTGGGAGAGCAGAGGAGAGATGGAAGTTTGGGACGAGTCAAGTAGGCGGTGGGAGCGCACGGAGCGCAGTAGCAGGCCGAAATGGGCTGAGATTTCGTCGTAAGTATAAATGGGCCTAGTTGGTCCTGTGTCTGTTTATATAAAAGGAAAACGTCTATTTGACCTAATAGACCTTCTTTTATTTAACTATTACACGTGAGTTCAGTAAAACCGGACTTTTAGATTCCTTAAAACTCTCGAAATCTTCCGATTTTATCTCTTTGAGTGATTTGAAAAGGTTTTTAACAAATGTGATGTCATGTCAGTTGTTCTAAATGGCGTCACGTTAACCGCGAGGAGGGTAAATCCAAATTGGATTCGTGATAGTTCAAAGAGCTCAAATAGACTTTATAAAGAAATGAAGAAATAATTTTCAAAAAATTCTAAATACTTTTAAATGCATATGCGTTTAAAATACTAAATGTGATTTAATATTAGAAATCATAGAGATTTTGTTTTAACTCAAAAAAATGAAGCCAAATTCATTTTTTTTCCTAAAGTCATGCTTTATATTTCTACTATGAGCTAGGCACCTTAATATATAAAGAATAATTTTAGAAAACGCAAAAGGTCGGCATCCGGAACCTATCCAAATTGCCTTCCTGGTTGATCATGTGCTCCCGCGACGTGCACATATCTACAACAGTGATGACGAACGAGGAAGCAGCTGCACCTGTCCGGATGTTGTCGGCCAAGTCGCATACGTCGATTCAGGAGTCTGAGAAGTCGCACGCCAGATGGTCCAACGAGTTTACACACGTCATCGTCGTGATGTCCCATGAAGAAGAAATGCTGCTATAAATTTAAACCACAGGACACATGTTGTTAATGTGCAAACAAAGCTTGAATTATAATTTTTATTTTGAATTTCTCGTGCATGTCTTGATGGTTAAGCAATGTAACATTGCTAATGAGGAAACCTTTTTTTCAATTTGCATGGCAGGTTGCACGGTGATTCACACTGCAGTTTGCAAGGATTTTGTTTTGATCTACATTCTTCATTTCATATTTAGCCTAGTTTCAAATTTAAGAGACCATGTGAGATTCAAATAATTCTAAGAAAATGACATAAAAGTAACATTAATATAACAATAGGTTCTTATAGAATAAACAGCCAAATGAATATATTGACGAGGTAATTTAGAGTGACTCTTAGAGACGTTCTTGCTCTCTGTCATGCTTTTTATTCCATTTTATTTATTTGGTTATAGAATGTTGCTGTATACATGATACATGCACACATGACACACATTGCTACTGCACGTCTATATGCACGCATGTCACTCATACTCCATAAAATACACATATATACCCCTAGCTAATACACATATACATTGTTTACAGCCCCACACAGCCATATTTGTGTGGATCGGTTGATTCATCCGAGATCCTTATGGTTTTACTCTAAGATATTCTGTCCGTTTCAAATGATAAGTTGTTCTAATTTTATTCCAACAAGTTAAACTTATCTAAGTTTGACTAAATTTATAGAAAAATATATAAAGATTTATAATGTCAAACTGGATTCATTAGACACCATAGCGTATAATTTGACAATAATGTATTTGTTTGATATTGTAGGTGTTAACATATTTTTTTCTATAAATTTGTTTAAAATTAAACAATTTTAATTTATAACAAGTTAAACTACTTTAGGCCACATTGAAATGCTGGAACTTTATACTCCCTCAGTCCCAAAAAGAATGTAATCCTAGGTTTCAAATCTTGTCTCAAAAAGAATGTAAATGTAGATTTAAAATCAACTTTTCCAATAGGACTCACCTATTAAAAATACAACTACATGTCTAAAAATTATCGTATTCTATTCATCCACGAGAAGAAAACATTCCAGAATGTAACCATTGTTTTTTAGTTTCTAGAATGATAGAGTATGGGTAAATGCGTAATTTGACACCTACACTAATCTTACCTTAAAAAGTGAGATTTACATTCTTTCTGGGACGGACGAAGTAGCAATTTCATGGGAATCATTTTCTTCTCTACAACTAAAACATTCGTAACTATTCCGTCCACAGGTGCGACACCAAAGCCGCTCCATGCGATCAGGTCAGGAAGGCAACGCGCACTTGCTCCATGCGATCAGCTCAATCCCCATAACAGCCGTAGCAAATCAGGAAGGCAAAAATCAATCCCCATAACTGCTGCAGCGGCACCATGGCGGCCACGCTGCTCATGTTCCTGCTCACCAACGTCGTCTCCGTCGTTGTCATCTCCTCGGGCGTCGGGCCCTCCCTCCTCCGTCGCTATAGCAGCAGCGGCTACAGGCCCGCCGCCACCATCGTCCACCTCTGGGACAGCTCCGCGGCGCTCCAAGCGGACCTCCACACCCGCGTCCGCACCGCCAACGAGCTCCTCCAGACGCTCCTCCAAGCCATGTAGGACCACGCCGCCCGGGACCTCCCTGCGACGCCAGACCGTGCCGTCGGGGCCGCATCGCAAGGTGGCCGGGGCTGCGGCGGGGGAGGTGTTCCCGGTGCTGGGCCACGCGTGCGTCCACGTCCAGGACGACCTGGAACGCTACATGGACTACGCGCCCGCGCGGGGAGTGCCCGTCCGACGAGCCGCTCGTGCACAGGCTCATGCTCAGCGGCTACGAACCGCTGCCGCGCCGCTGGTGTCGCCCGCGGTCGCCCAAGGGGTACCCGCTGCCGCTGCCGCTGTCCCGGAGCCTCTGGACCACGCCGCCGGACACCACCGTCGTGTGGAATGCGTACGCGTGCAAGAACTACTCGTGCCTCGTGGCCGCCGCCCGCGGCGACGGCATCAGCGGCTGTGACGACGGATGCTTCGACCTGCGTCGCGGGAGGGGGAATAAGAATAAGGCCAACAGATGGGCGCGCGACGACGGCGCGCTGTCCTACTCCATCGATGTCATTCTTCGTGCGCAGCCCAACAGCACGGTACGCATCGGCCTGGACCTCGGTGGCGGCTCCCCCTCCGGCACATTCACGACGTGGATGCTGGAGCGCGCGCGGGTCACCGTGCTCATCGCGGCCGTCAACTCCAGCGCGTCGTTCGACAGCTTCATCGCATCGCACGGCTTGGTGCCGCTGCACGTCACCGCCGCGCACCGGTGCCCCTGTTCGACGATACCATGGACACCGTACACGCCGGGCACGACCTCGGCAGCGGCAGGTGGATGGCCCCCGGCGTGATGCTGGAGTTCACATTGTTCGATGTGTACAGGGGGCTTGTTCTGGCTGGACCACTTCGTCTACGCCGCCGCGTAGCTGAACGTGACGTTCGCGCCGATGATTGATCGTGTCGGGTTCAGGAAGCTGCGGTGGAACACCGGCAGGGGAAAGGAGAAGGAGAAGCGGTACGTGTCGGTGCTGTTGGAGAAGCCCCTGACATGACATGAGCATGAGAACATTTGTGTGCGTTTGTTTTTTTTACAGGGAAATTGTGGCTGTAATAATCCTATGAATTATGTCTATGAATTATGTCTTGTTCATTCTTGCTTCTGGTGTACTATGACTTTTTGCCCAATTGCAGAAAAATGCAATACATTACGTGTCAGCTTCCTATTGGTTGATAATTGTCTAAGACCAAAAAGAAAATTTAGTGAATTACGGTGCCTAATTGAAAATTTTTGAGGTGAAATTAGAATCTCTACAACTAAAACATTCATAACTAAATCTTCTGGATCATTATTGATTGGTGACCAACTGCAGCTTGGTATTCGTGCAAAGTATGTTCTCTTAGTCGAACTATTGAGAGATTAGATTCTTAATTATAGAATAGATTCTAAAACATATAATGTAAAACACAAACTTGTTATGATTATCTTTCCGTAGCACTTGATTCCTAAAGAAGTGCAAGCTTATCTTTCACGTATCGTAGGCATGAAGTGATGCGACAATTGAAGTTGATGTTTTAGTTTTGCATTCAAATTTAGAGTTATATTTTAACTATCTATCTTTCGTGAAGACTTATATAATATTGATTGGAACATTATGATTACGATATCTATTTTAGATAACAGTATAACACACACTCATACATATGTTATTGTGGCATTATATGTTCCCGTTGCAACGCACGGGCATTTTTCTAGTACAAGAAAAACATAGAAAACGAAACACAATTCCTGCGATTCAAATGGGCCCTTACAATTTGTAATAGAAGGAATAGTATTTTAGGCCACGGTTGAAAGATATATTAAAACAGCAGCATCAACCTTGGGCAATGCATGGCATGGTACAGAAATTTAGAGCATGGATCTTCGACCCGTACAAGCCCAACTTTGAATTCCGCCGGAAGAGTGAAGACCTGTATCGTCGCTTAACAAAGCCGATCGAGAAGTAACGAAGTCGCGAAGGAAATCCAATCCATCCCGGTTCGGATCCAAAAGCCTCCGCGCGGCGTGCGCATGGATTGGGCGTCATGTCTGGCTGATCCGGCTCGAGGGGGACCAATCATCAGTCACAGTGAGAGATCCAAAAGACGATGGCACGTCGGTCGGTTGCACGACACGCGCGTGCTAGCCAAGGGCCAAGGCCACCGCCCTTTGATTTGGCGAACGAAAGGCGGCAGGTCGGTTTGACGGTGTCGGTCTCCGTCCGGCCATCCGTTGGGGGCGGGGAGGGGTCACGGGAGGCCAGGGGAGTCGGGGAGATGAGACAACTCAGTGACTGACGAATCGACGCGGCAACCACATGGGAGCCACGCAAACACCTCTTGCACTCTCGCTCGTGAAATTGAACAGTCCTGTGAAATTCGTGTGAAATTCCCGTGTTCCAGATAGGCCCACTGGTCGCAAGTCCCTGCGGGGGCTGTGGCGTACGTCAGGGAGGAGGCAGGGCACACCGCGCAACAATCAACAAGGGACGACGCAACGCAATCACGCAAGAGGCAGGCAATAGCGGCACATGATGCCGTCGTGCTCATGCTCGTTGCGGCGTTGCGCTGCTCAAACTGCCAGTGGATGCGGCCGACCAGCCTCGCTTTCTCTCGTGCCGACGAGTCCTTTTCCGCCCTTTGTTTCTTTTGCTAGCGCCTAGCGGCTACTGCCTACTGCCCCGGATGGGATCATGGGAATGGGATGGCCGGCCTTGTTTGAGAACGAGCGAGATCTCCATTGCACCAACCCAGTGTGTTTCGTCTTGGATCAGGCCTCTACGTCGTCCATAGTCACCTGCCTTAGCAAAATCGAGCATTATTGCTTCTTCCTTCTTCTTTTTTGGCTTTGTGTAAAACAAAACATTGGTGTCCGCGCAAGTGCAATGGAGGTGATAGACGATCGAGCTAGAGTTACGGAACAAAACAACTGATGTCCTAACAAGTAACAAGTAGTAACAAGCAGCGGAGGATTCACAGTCACAGCTGAGATTGTAAGGTTGAACGCTTTAATTAATCATGCACGCTGGGTCTATTGCACGGCCTCTTGCATGGCAACCACCAGCGGCGGATCCAGAAAAAATTTTAGGAGGAGTTGAACAAAAGTGCGACAGCAACATACCTCCGACTGATGCTCGATTTTAAGTCTCAATCCCATCTACACGATAGAACTTTGTCTAAAAATTCATAGAGGCTCCATTTCCCCCCCCACCGTTGAATCCGCCGCTGGCAACCACTGACATGAGCGTACGTAGCAGCCTATTCCACGGCTTAATTACGCTTCGCCAACCACACCTCAATCTTCAGATGGGACATTGAGTTAAGCAACACACAACCCTACATCTCTTAAAGAGTCTACACAACAAATTTAAATAATACTCTCTCTCCCTTTTCAAATTGTTCTGGCTTTTCTAAATACATAGATTTTATTATATATTTATATATAGCCTATATCTATATGCATAAAAAACAATATACTTTGAAAAGCTAGAGATTTAACATTTGGAACTAATGGAGTATTATAGACTACACATCTCCTATATATAGATGTTTAAAATCAAGATCAATTTGAGGCGGCACTCTCTCCACGCTCCGGTGACTCAATGAAGACATTAGGGCTAGCAGGAGTTGTGGGTTTGTGAGGCGGTGAGGCTGCAACTAAGCGCTAGCCATTGTCCACATGCGGAAAGACGGTTGGATAGTGTCAGAGTGGTAAGGCAAAAGGAGAGAACGGTGCAAGGTTAACATGGAGAGGATAGTGTAGCGACAGGACACAACGACTGACAAGAGGCCATCAAGGATGGAGTGGGTCGAAAGATGAGGGATCTAGATGTGGATAGAAAGAAGACATGCAAAACGTACTCAAGCACTTGGCGTGAGAAAGAAGATGACCTGGTGAGTCGTTTGATCGAAATCAACAGTCAAATTTTACTGCCTAAAAAAATAAAGCAAAAAAGCCCCATTTTACCATCTAAAAATAAACAAAAAAATCATAGCATCTCCGAGGAAACTAGATACCAACATTTTTGGGACACTCGGATGAAAAGTGTGTAATCACTTGAAAAAAGCACAATGGAATAGCATAGCAATAAAGCGCTCTCAAAATGGTTTCAAAACTATGGGGAGGGGGAGAATCATATGCCACCCTTTGCAGACCACACATTTGCGGCCTGTTCGGTTGGCTGATTCGTATTGTTGCTGGTTTGTGAAAAAGTACAGTTGACTGCTTTGTGTGAGAAAAAAATATTATTCCAACTAAAAATATACGATCGTTTACGACAAGCCACAGCCAATCGAAGAGTCTGGTGGTCCTTCACGGTTGAGGTGGTCCTTCCTGCCTGCCTCACCCTCCCATCCCCATCCCCATCCCCATCCCATCCCATCAAAAGCGCAGGCACCAGCACCACCCCACCCCAACAGCATCAAGCCCCATCTCGGCCGTCCGTTCACTCCCGTCGTCGCGGATCACGAAGCCCTCGCCAAGACAAAACGCTCGCACGGACTCCAACAAAGCCCCCGTCCATATCGCGCACACACCACTGACACGCACAGAAGGAGAGAGAGCGTGAGGGAGGGAGGCGGCCGCAATCGCAATGGCGACGCTGCCGCAGCGGTTCAAGCTGCTGGCGACGCGGTGCGCGGCGGGGGCGCCGAGCCCGTCGCGCAGCCCGGCGCCGGCCTACGCGGGGGCCGCCAGCCCGGGGTACCGCCTGCGCCGCCAGGGGGTCCGGGGCGCCGGCGGGGCCACTGCCAGCGCCAGGCGCCGCGGCCGCCTGCGCCGCTTCCTGTGCCGCCGCGGCGGCGGCGAGTCTGGGGTAGAGACGCTGGCGGCCGCGCGGCAGGAGGACGACAGGAAGCCGCTCTTCGGCGGCCGGCCGGGCGGGGGCCGCACGCTGCGGGATCTGTTCGTCGCGTCCCCGGAGGCCGGGCGCCGCAAAGGTGGGTGCAGCTGCGACTGCGGCGGCGACGACGAAGACGACGGAAGGGCTGGCGGTGCCAGCTCGGATCCCGGCGCCGGCGCCGGCGCGTGGCGAGGGGGCCGGAGGTTCGGCTCCGGCGGGCTGCGAAGCCTGCTGATGCGCCGGAGCTGGCGGCCGGTGCTGGTGGCCATCCCGGAGGGGGACGGCGGCAGCAAGATCCAGCTCGGCGCCATCGAGGAATAAATAGATAGATAGATAGAGTGGAAACGGCTGGGGGAATTGGATTCTTGCGCCGTCTTCTTTCCGTCGTACAGTAGCTCTGTTCTTCTTCATCCGATTTCCTCTTTGTTGTTTGTTGGCTTTGCCTCCCTGTAGGTGACTGCATGCCCCTGTGAATACGATGCAACGAAAGCTTGCAGGTTGCAAGAAACAACAATCTATCGGTCCGTTCGTTTGGCACCGGCCACACTTATCAGCCTAATAAATCAGCATCCGCCGAGTTTATCATCCAGAAAAAACCAATCAACGAACAGCCCGTATAACTTCAGTTACAATTCTGAGACCAAAAAATGGCTATACTTCTTCAGTTGCAGGTTTACGTTGGGACATTGCTCGTCTAGTCGTCTTGCCGTCTTCTTCCTTGGACCTTGCAGAGTTGCAGAAGCCATGGGCAGATGCAGCAGCGAGTTGCTGGACAGTGGACACAGCTTGTGCGACGGCCGGCAGCCGCACTACTAGCGGCCAAGATGCATCATCATGTTCGCTTTCTCGTATACGACAGTAGATTATAAACTAAAATAATATTTTTTTTCTCACATTAAACTAGCCAACAATAAATAATCCACGATCGTTTACGATCAAACGAACCGTCTGCGTGCCCGTCCGTTACCTTGTACAGGCTGCTGAGTGCTGACTCCAAACTCCAGCTCGGAGTCGGGTTCAGCCATCAATAGTTGTGTGGTGAAGACGAACCTGGAGTGCGGGTGTTCGGAGGCCAGGACCCACGAGCATTGAATGTGGAGGTCCGGTCAGGACCAGACGAGCAAGCTGCAGAGTGGCACGCGAACGGTGGGCTCGAGTTACGATGTTGATGCCGACCGCCAACCTTTGTACGCCTCCCAGTCGCAGACGGTCACTTTTGACTCGAGACTCCCAGGCTTTGTACGCTCGTACACCTTCATCAGGATTGAGGACATCAAAATTCAAAACTCATCTGTTGCGTGATTCGACCGACCGATCGACTCACCCAAGAGAATCGGATACATTTTAGGATATATTTTTCAGATATCGAATACATATTCAGATAGTTGTTTCAGATATCGGATTAATATAAGATGGGCATTATATCTGTACTAATCGGAAATGTCAAAGTCTGTTTCTCAAAAAGAAAAAAAAAGTCAAAGTCGGATAATCCGGATAGCTAGTTCGGATATTGTATTTGGATAGTTCTATCGCATGTCCATTAGAAGTTGACGGTAAGCTCAAGCTAAATTTCAGTCCAAAACGGATAAGCGAAGTGTAATTGGTTATTATTTCGAAAGCACACAGAAGTATGCGTTAACTAAGTTCAAATTTAACTTCATTAAAATATTTAGATAAACTCGAAGTGAATTGATAAAATACAAATGATCACTTAATGCAATTATCATTTTGCAAAAAGAAGACATTGAGAATAGTTTGAGCCATTTGACAAAAAGTTTAAATACACGCTCTTGCTCTTAATATGAGAGAAATTGTACTTTTTTTTGGCATTTTAAAGTATCTTGCAGAAATAAAAACATGTGATATATATGTAGTTAGTGCCTTTACTTAATATCTAGGAAAATATTCAGATCCGGCTTGATCCATATCTGATGATGACTTGGTTTTGATGATGAGTCTGAGAGCATCTTCAGCTATAAAGAAAAAAAAAGCTTTGATGAGTCCCAGCCTTTTTTCCCGGGCAATGTATCAAGTGCAAACCAATATCTCCGTGCAAACCGTGCAAACCAACTGCGGGGGAGAGGTGGGAGGGGGGATTTGCAAAAGTGTAATTAGGAGCGGCGTTATTACACTTTTGCAAATCTCCCCTCCCACCTCTCTCCCGCAGTTGGTTTGCACGGTTTACACGGAGAGGTTGGTTTGCCCTGGATATGCTCCCTTTTTCCCGAGGCCAACTCAAATTCAGTCATCCAGTGTGACCAGAGACAGGCGGATACGGAGATACTAGTAGTAGCTACCCTTCTCGATCGTGCCGTTGGGCTGCTCATCTCAGTGAGAAGTGCGTGCGGGCGCTGGTGAGATCAGGATTCAGGAGGGCCACGTGCGCAGCGAGACCGTCCGGCGATGTTCGCGACGGCAGCGCGGTGGGCGGCCAAGAAGGGGAAGCCCAAGATGGCGCCGATCGAGCTGACAGCGCCGCCGGAGCAGGCGCAGTCCATCACGCGCGCCATCTTCGACGTCGTCCGGGAGCACGGCCCGCTCACCATCTCCGACGTCTGGGACCACGTCAAGGTACAAGAGCATCCACCCCTGCTGCCCCTTGCGCACCACGGTCACATCCATGAATGAATAGAAACTGTTCGACGGAATGCTTCTCCAAAGACCTCTCGTTCGGACTGGACTCCGGCGGTGCATCCTTTCTTTAAGTGCATGGGTTCCTCTAACAGGCAGCTGAGATTGATCTTTGCTTTCATCCTCAGGATGTCGGGCTTCGAGGTCTGACAAGTAAGAGGCAGATGAAGATCATGCTGAGGTGGATGAGGGAGCGCCAGAAGCTAAGGCTCATCTGCGACCACGACGGCCCGCACAAGCAGTTCCTCTACACCACCTGGTTCACCAACCCCAGGAACGCGCCGCAGAGGCCCAAGCCGGAGCTCAAGGCCAAAGCGGAGACGCTCCCCACCTTCCCTTCCCTTCTAAGCAACCGTGACAAGCAACCTTGACGAGGACCTGTTTCTGTGCTCTCTGCACTTGTTTCTGCTATCCTGGCATAATGTTCAGCTTGGTAACAAATGCTGGATTTGTTGAGGCGAATTTAAGCTTGTTATGGCTATATTGTTCTGTACAAACACCTAATTGTTGCCTATAAAGTTGCATAATTAAGCTGTGTGCCTTCTCCGTTTCCCACCGTCAAGGGCGCTTTCTGGGCTAATCAGCCTCCTCTGTCTAGCGCGCAACAGAGACAGCAAAACATGCAGGGAAATGGTTGACTGCTCTCAAACAAAAAGTGAAGAAGCGGGCCATGCTTGTTCTGCCACCATCTGAATAGTTATCAGGTAATGACGAAATTTTGCCAAGACAGAAGAAATTTCACTTACTTTCATGAAATGTGAGTAAAGTGGCACATATGTACAACAGACTATTATATAAGCTGTACACTTTAGAATTGTTCATTTTGGGATTCACAGTTTACAGGGCTATCCCATATTAAGAAAAAAAATCTGGATGCAATCATTATTACAATTTGCACATATCATTTACTAACCATACTATCCAACCTCTTCATGATCATGGGGTTCCATACTTGATTTGCCTTGTCACATATCTCTGTAGCATTAAAATAAAATAACATCAGGGCAAAAATTTCTAGCTACAGAAGTGTACCAAGAGTGTATATTACTGACCAGTCTTCTTTTCAATTCTAAAATGGACTTCTGTCTCTCCCGAACAAAGTATTTCATTGACTGCATATATTCGATTGAAGGGCATGAGATTGCCAGCAAGAGAACAAAATGGAAGTTTTAGTGGATGAATGTTATATGCTGATTCTTACCCCTCGTCGTTGGACCTCAATTGATCTTCGGAGTGCTTCTCTTTTCGTTAGCAGATTACTAAATGATGATTTTGCTGGGCGGCGATAGTTTTTTCCACGGTAAAGTATTATGGCATGGCTGGTTGTGAGCTTTTCTACTGATATTAATATTCCACCTGTCTCAACCTCAAGTAGATTCGCTGTGTACATGATCTGTCGGACTTGATTCTGCTTTGTAATTACTTTCACAACCTCTTTATGTTTCCAGTGCTGATGAATCTCTTCAATTACACCATCAAACATACCACGCCTTCCTGTATGGGGAAACAAATGGTATGCAGATTCAGTGATCAGACAACAACAACAACAACAACAACAACAACAACAACAACAACAACAACAAAGCCTTTTAGTCCCAAGCAAGTTGGGGTAGGCTAGAGTTGAAACCCAACATGAGCCCCTAAGATTCAGTGATCAGAGGAAGATAAAATGTATATTGTAGGTCAGTGGTACAGTAGTAAGAGCACATATAGATAGCTGTACCTAGGAGAACAAGCCCATCCATTTTGCGGCCAATCCGGCGGAACATTATCTTTTCCTCTTCTGTCAAGAGTTCTCTATCAGCAGACTGCTCTGAAGGGCTCCAAGAACTGTGAAGCTTTGCCAGTGCCTGGTTAGATCTTTCGATCTTCCTGTTGAGCTGCAAAAAATAATTGTGTTAGACTGCAACCAATAACATTACAAGTCAATGACTTCAAATCAGAGCATGAGATGCTTCACATGAACACATACAATGCAAAGCTTCCATTCATGGTCTTTCAGTTCCTTTTCCAATCTATACTTCTCGGCCTCTAGTTCAATCATGGTGTTAGAGTTTTCAGTATTTTCATGCACAAAGTCAGCATGGAAATCCTGATACTCCCTGAAAGTTCCTACAGAACTTTCTTCAGATGATAATTCATCAACCATCTGAAGTGAGTCAACTGCTTTCAGTCGAGCTTCCTCTTCCTTCACCTGTTCATCATGTACCTGAGCTTCTCGTTGAATAACAGTTTGAGCAACTCCACCAGGAAGAAAATCCTTGCCTCTATATAGAATAATAAAATCCTTGTTTCTCAATATCACAGTGCCTCCTGTAAGATGCTGCACTGAGGAGCTCCAGTGTTACACAAGAAAATACAAATAAAGGACCAATATCAACAGAAAGGCGTGGATATCTGATTAAGAACCATGTAAACTTGCAGTACGAAACTAAGGATTCATGTTTAGTCCAATTCATTACCATACTCTAGGTCACTAGTTTAGCCTATGATAAAAAACAAAAACAGGAAGTAGCAAATCACTTTAAAATGTAGTAATGCAAGATAAACCAAGCATCGTAATTACCAAGGAGGTGACTGACAACATTTTATGTTTTGCTAGTCAAAGGAATTGACTACAATGCAGTTCAATAACATAAACATCAGAAGGTATTTCATCAGGAATAATACTTGCCTTAAGGTTCCATGCCATTTGTTCATTGTTCGTATTTTGGATACCTACTTTCACTGCAATTTTTGCTATAAGGCTTTTCTCCCAAAGCTTCAGTATAGCAGCAGCCAAACCCTGCAATCTTGTATTTCTACCTGCCAAAGACACACAAAATTATGATTGTCTTGTTCATATTGTAAAATTAACGTGACATAACCCTAAGATGGTAATCATATAAACAGAAGTGGATGACACGTATTGAACACATAGACTGCAGGCCCATAGATTCAGTGATGAAAAGTGCCCTGTCTTTCTTTCTTGTATAGCTGCCCTAGATTAGTCCTGCAGCCCACCTCGGGCTGGCTTCTCTGTTGCTCTTTTGCTGTTCATTTGACCTTTGTACAGTGTTGTTCTTGTTTCCTTTTGTTTAATAAAACTTTTGTTTAATAAAACTTACAGTGGGGGTCTCCCCTGCTGTATTTTCCGTAAAAAAAAAAACACATAGACTGTGATGTATGTATAAGACAAAAAGGATATAGACAACATAAATGCTTACCACTCAATGTGCGTATAAAATCACAACACAAGTACCAATTTACTTGTATACTTAACAAAAAGTGCATCTGGTAACTAAATGCATACTCACCAAGGGCAAAATGTGTTGGCAAAGGACGTGCAAGCTTGCGCAAGTATGTCAGCTCCTCATCAGCTAGTGTTGGTCTCACACCAGGAGGGCACTGCCTAAATGGAGTCTGAAAGCCTGGAACAAACTCTGGGAGGAGATCAGCATCCACAGGCAATGGTGTGTCCCACCACCAATCAACAAAACGAGGGCCCAAAGTGTCCAATAGTCTATTGACCTCTCTCTCATATAGTGTTCCCTTGACAGGTCCTTCATCCTTCTGGTCACAAATGCCTTGATCATTTTCTTGAAAAGCATCATCTGCTTCACCATAACCGTTTGTTAATGCTGGACCTTTGTTCCCATTTTTAAGTAGGGTTGTAGGAACATTATGTCTTACTAGAGAGCCTTTATGAACATTATTAGTTAGAAAAGTGTGGCTATGCTTTGCATTTTGCTGATATTTACTTCCTCTGCACACAAAATGTATGTCTCCTTTTGTCCAGACAACTAAGCCTCCTGTTTTTATCTGAGAAAAAAATTATAATCCATCAAAGAAATTTGTAAGTTTTTGAATTCAACAATATTAATTGAGTAATCATACAACTAACAAAGGTAAAAACAAATATGCTTAGAGTGAAAACAATAATCTTTTATTTTGTAACCACCGCAGTTACACTAAGAACAATACAGTTGGTATAAAACAATCTTTCTCTGCAAGTATTGGCATAATGACTGTCAATTGCACTACAACACAATGTCAAACTCACAATACACTGTGACATTGAAAGTGCATCTAGCCCTTTAGTGGGTTTTTGATGATTGAACGACAACGTGATTAAAGGTCTAACCCGTTTACTAAGTGTGGACAGGTAATAGGTTATCTCACAGGTACTTAATAAAAGCCAAAATGATGTGTTGTTGTATAAACAATCTAATTCAAGCACAAGACAACAATGCAAATAGAATTCATACAAAGGCTTATTTATTGTGAAATTTCCATGTACTATGTGAAAGCAAGCCCGGTAAAAATTAGTTGATGAGACATGAGGGATCGCATATGGAATGGTCTCATATTTGAAGCTTGCTAAATTGAAATGAAAAAGATGACAATACAAATGAATGGATGATTCAACACAAGATGTGACTTGATGGCTTGAGATGGTGAAGATAGCAAGGAAAGGTTTCGAGGTACTAAGCAAGGGTGAAGGGCAAACGATGGCTTAGCGGCCGAAGAACCTAGCTAGGGTGAAGAAGAAAGTACTTGCATTTAATTGAGGTACTAATCAAGCTATGATGGTCATATTGATGTGGAGGATCAAATCTATATTGGACAAAGTGTTGAAAGTGACTTGATGCATTTGGAGTTATTCGTATTTAATGAATAGAATCAAGTCACGTGCTCAAAATGGCTATGCTCAAGTGAAAAAGATTAAAGTTGACATGTTGGCACCCTCACTTGATGAAGATTGGAATACACGGCTTCGGTTGAAAGAGATTAACTCAAAAGGTTTAAATTCGTTATACTTTTAAATTAGAGTTAATAGGAATGCCGTACTATTAAGAGGGATGCATCATGTTGATAGATAATGTTTCATAAGTGCTCAAGCCAACACATGTAAGTTTTTAGAGTGTTTGAGAGACAAAAGAGCTAACTTGTTTTTGCTGGTCTGGCAATACCGGTACCGGACGTGTCCGGTATGTGCCCAGCCACGATAAAATTCTCAATGTTCTTGGGTTGGTTCGTTGGGAGTTCCAATGTAAGTCGAGAGTTCCGACGGTCGGGAGTTCCGACGTCTCGTGCTTAATTGACTTGGAGAGTTCACTGTCCTGGTCATGCCGGACGTGTCCGGTATGGACGGCCAGAGGCCAACGGCTAATTTTCAAATGCCTTGAGAGTCGGGAGTTCCGGCATGCATCAGGAGTTCCGACACCTCACATACTTTAACTCAGTTACCATTGTTTTCGAATGTGCTGAGGGTCGGGAGTTCCGACGTGTGTCAGGAGTTCCGACAGTCGAAAGTTTCGGCATTCATCGGGAGTTCCGACGCCTCACAACGACACTGTTACTCAGTTACCGTTGGGACAGTATAAGTAATACCGGACGTGGTATGGCAACGGCTATAAAACGGCTAGTTTTTGAAAGGGGCTATAAATACCCCCAAGCCTTCACCTTTAGAGGCTACTGATTCTGCTGACATACATACACGTTTTTGAGGCTTGCAAACATTCTCCAACCCTCTCTTAGTGAGTGATTCATCCAATTGCCAAATCCATTTGTGGGTTAAGAGAGAATTTAAAAAAGAGAGCAAGCCACCACTTGAGCACTTGTGCATATTGTCTATTTCGTTATTTGCATTTGTTAGCCTTGGACTCTTCGGTCCTAGACGGCTAGGCGTCGTCGGAGAGCACCCGAGAGATTGTAGTGTGCCTCGAAAAGTTTGTAACGGTCGATTCCGCCGCCTCGGAATCAACTAGTGGAAGAAAGAAAAGGAGTTGAAAAAGACTCCGACTAGAGTGACCTTCGTAGTACCCTCTAGGGCTGATTTTCGCTGGGTCGCCCACAGCCCTCTCAACGGAGAGTAGAACTCAAACAAGTCGGTAAAACAAATATCGTGTTTCAATTCGCATTTCATTCGATATTTGTGTTGCTCTAGCTCTGGTGAAGGTTCTCTGTGTATATTGTCATCTCTAGTAGATACCTGCAGTTTGATTTGAAGATAGAAATTGAAAGGAGCAAGTTTGGGGCTGCTCTGCAGAAATCGTGTATACCGGACACATCCGGTATTTCCTACCTGTGCTGAAAATATTTATTCTCTGTTTTTACTTTGTGTTGCAGGGTTGTAACTTCTATATATATTCTTTATACCTTGTATACTCTGTGTCTAATTTGTGAGGGGTGGTATTACTCTTTATTTGGAGTTTCCATTTTGGAAACTCCCTTTACTAATCATTTCCGTATTTAAAGGTGTTAATTTTCAGAAACGCCTATTCACCCTCCCTCTAGGCGGCATCCTAAGTCCTTTCAATTGGTATCAGAGCGAGGTTCTCACCTAAAGCTTCACCGCCGTGAGAAAAGGATGTCGATGCCTATCGAGTTGGAGCCGGTGCTTCTCCAAAATGATGGTTCAAACTTTCACCTTGGTCAATTCATGTATTCAATGCTTTTAGAGATATCAGTCCTCTTGTTGAGCATATTGTGGATGCAAGCATACCTCTTTCTATAATTGATTGGAGCAACTACAAAAATTTGTCAAAAGAGGAAGAGATATGCGTGCAACTCAATGCTCAAGCTATTAATATTATTTTGAGTACATTGAGTGCAGAGGTTCAAGATAAGGCAATCTTCAATGGACAACCACATTCGGAGAGTGCTCATCTCATTTGGACTAGACTTGTTGAATTATATGAAAAATCCAAATGTGATGATGCTATTGAGTGCAATTCAATGAAAAGTATGTCCATTGTGTCTTCATGCAGTGAAGAAGCCTCACAAGACCTCAAGAGCGTCGAGCCGGAGTAAGAAGTGCAAGCAACAAGATGACCTGTTTGCTTGCTCAAGACATACTGGATTGCCTACTGGGATGTGTCCGGTATGGTCAGTGCACAGGACAAAGAAGTCATCTGTGATGATGAGAAACAAGCCCTAATTTTACCAAGTGATGAGTCAACCTCAGTATCTTATGATACTCATCACTTGTGTCTCATGGCCAAGAAAAGCAAAAAAACAGTAACAAGAAAGATCAAGAAAAGGAGAAAGCACAAGTGGATGATCAAGATAAAAGTGATGTTAAAGTTGAAGACAACTACAACCTTGATCATCTCAACCGCAAGGACAAGTTCATCGTCATGAAGATAGTTGAAAAGAATGATGAGCTTGAAGAAGAGATGAGAAGCAAGAGCAATCACTTCAAAAGCAAGAATTGTTTCTCATCTCAAGATGGAAGAACTAAAGGCTCTAAGTGAAAGGTATGAAAAATTATCATTTGAGCATGCTTTAGTTACTAACTCCTCTTTTAATGTTTCACAACTAGAGAAGAAAAACTTTGAGCTCAAGGCAAGGCTAGATGAACTATCAAGCAAGTATAATGTGCTACAAGCAAACTATGTTCATCTAAAGTGCTCTCATGAGGAAGTAGTAGAATCAAGCATCATGCTTGAGGTAGCTCATGAGGTTGTGATCACATCGGTAAAATTTTCTCAACCTCTTACACATTCACTCACTAGTACACCATCTCAATTAAATATTTCTTGTATTAATGAGTGTGCTCCTAAAGCAAGCCAATCTTCGATTGAGCTAAATCTTGTAGAAAACATAGAGCTCAAAGAAGAGGTGAAAATATTAAAGAAAGATGTGATTCGGTTGAAGGGTAAGAAAAAAGTACAACCTTCTCAAGATAACCATGATAACATGGTGAAGAAGCTTGAGAAGGGTTCAAACCTTGCTTCCTCCAAAGCCCAACAAAAGAATCATATTTCAAGCAAGGCCAACACAACCAAGAGCAAGAAACATGAAAGAAGGTTATGCTATGGTTGTGGATTACATGGACATGAATGAGCAATGTGTCTATATAAGAATTGGACCGACAAGTGTGAAGCGGCCGAACAAAAGGCCTCAAATAAGTTGGCCAACCAAAAGAAAAGTGATGAACAAAGCGTTTGTCTCATGAGCAAGAAATTGGGGCATCCTAGCAAGAAATGCCCAATGTACAAAGAGACAAGAAAGGAATCCCAAGTTATAACAAGAAGATGCTATGGAGGCAATAAGATCGGTCACAAGGTTGATAAATGTTCATACAAGCAAAACAAGCAAAGAGCAAACAAAGGCCGCATATGCTATGCTTGTAGAAGAAAGAGGCATTTAAGCTATGAATGTCCAAATGGTAACACTTCTAAGCCAAACACATTTGTTTATAATGATATGCTTAGGAATACCACAAATGGAGTTAGCACTAGCAAGGTGATGTGTTCACCACAAACCGATGTTAAAGCCATTTGGGTGCCTAAGCAATTGTTGACTAACTCAAAAGGACCCAATAAGAATTGGGTACCAAAGTGTGCTTAGGTTAATGATGTAGGTACTTGGTGATGAGATGAGGCCTCGGGGTGGTTGAGCGAGCAAATTGATAATATTCACTCAATCTATCAACCAATTTTTATCATAATCTCCTATATGGTTGACCCGAAGATAATTTAATGAATATAACATCCACTTCCTCCTCACCATTGGTAACAAGTAGCTAAACCTTATAGGATAGCCACTTTGTATATTTTGTGCTCAATGGCTCACAAATAGGTCTATTTGTGAAATATTGAAAGTGACTAATTAAATTCAATTGAAAAGTATTTTATTTTGTCATATGATGTTTTTAATGGCTATCTAGTAGAGCAATTTATTTGTTGAGATACAGGGCATAAAATAAATACTATACTAAAACGAAGAATCACAAGTAGCGGGTTATTTGTTTCTGTCCTACACCTATCGGACGTGTCCGGTATGGCCAGGGACAGAAAGAGAGTGTTTCTGTT